TCGTGAGCTTAGAAACGGGACGACAAGCTTGCCTGCCGCCGTTCTAAAGTTAAGACGACCCGGTGTCTCCGACCACAGCGTATGGTGGACCCCGTGCTATACCTAGCGGCCTCCTTGAAGGAACGGCACCGGATGGTCCAAATAACTGGCTACCGTTATACTCGTTGAAGGCCTGTGAATGCGGCGCTGACACGGCCTCTAGGGAATACTACGCCACTTGCCCAGCGTTGCGCACTCTACGACAAGAGCAATTGGATGCATTTGGAGCGATACCTTGCCTCTATAACGAGGAACAAGAACTCGACTACATCCTTAACAACCTACCACGTTCCGACGCTGGTCTGATTCGTGGTAAATGGGAAAAAAGATGACTATTAAAGTACTACTACATGTCCTCCGCAAGATCGATCAGCTAATTCATGAGGAGGAGAAGTACGGCGATGGCGAACCAGCGCCCGAAGAAGCCCTACACGGAACGCATCAATAACAGAAGAAGAACCACTCATCACCCCTATAGCATTACCTTTATGCATCAATCCCCAATTTGTGTATATACAATATAACCACACAGGCCTGTCTTTTTTCCAATGGGGGTTTTTTCAGACATGGCGCCAGACCACACTATTTTTTAAATATACGTACCGCAAAGAAGTGATCATATCCCCATAGGCATACGCTCTACAAGTATTGCGGGTCTCCAGCTTTTCTGCAGTTCTCAGTTTTTGCTCGTCACTTTTTTCATTTCACCAAACCAGACCTAGAACTTCTTATAATCGAGCTGGTATATATTTACAACTTGAACCCTCTTATATACATACGGCTTTCCAACTTTAATAAGCAATGGATTATGAAACACATTCGATCAACTTGAAACAGACTGTGAGTTATTCTTTATATGCTTTATTTCAGGTAAGGCTGCATAGATAACACTCCCACACCACGTCAGTAGCGCTTGATGCGTTTAGAAAACCAATTGTGGATTACGCGCTACATCAATAAAATTATGCATTTGAGTGCTTTATCATAGCATTGCTTTATATAAGCGCTCCTTCGTACACACTTATTATCGTCGAAACAACAAGAATCATGATCGTGCTCATCAAATGTGATTAAGCACTGCATGACTCCTTTTTACCATCCCTTATTGGCTGAAAACTATCCAGAGAAAAGAGATATCATAGTGTAGTTACATATTTTGTCTTTTGCGGCTAAATAGCGATGTGTGTGTTCGTCTGCCATTTTCTCATTTACCATATATCTTAGCCTGCTTAAGAAGAACACTATCTTCTTCAGCGATTCTCAATCATAGCTAATGAAAAAGTCCTGTATTGTCAAAATCTGATATGTGTGCTCCACTTATAATAAAGTAAGTATATAGAAGGATGCAGAAGATCACCATTAGTATGGTGGGGTCGGTGACACGCTCAAGGTCGATGGCAACACGGATATTGTTAGGGCTGGTACATACAATTGACCGTGGGCAAAGACAGGCTCGCAAAGACGGATGCCGACATGCTCGAGAGTTTGACCTTGTGCTTTGTGGATGGTCATAGCAAATGCCGGGCGCACAGGGAATTGGCGGTGAGTAAGGATGAAAGGATAATCACCTTCTGCCGTGCACATGTGGATGCGAGGAAGATAGTGAAGTCGGCCTGCGTGTCCTTGGTCAATTCGCTTAACAGCAATGGAGTGGTCGAGAAGGCGGGTGACAAAACGTTTTGTGCCATTGCATAGACTGCATCCGGATTGATGTTGCGCAAGAGCACCATTGTCATACCGACCTTGAGCTGCATAAATTGCGAGGGAATTCCACTGGCAGTCAAGCTGTTCAAAATTTCAACAGGATAGTTGGCTTGGGCGTAGGAAGGATCATCGGCGTCGACAATTCGATCCAAAGACCTATACTCACGCCCTTCAGCAGGGAAACGTTTGTATGCTGATCTCGTCAACGTCGACATTTTTTGCCGTCAAAATAGCGCGCCCATGATAGTGCTCGGGAAAAGGGTCAAAGGATCGAATGGATGGGTAGATGAAATCATTGAGTAAAGTAATGTCATTTGCATCTATCCGCCATTCTTCAGAAAATTGAAAAATACAACAGTGTAAGGTGCTTGCCCATTACTAATCGCAAGAAGGGTATCATATGAGCAAATACAAACGGCATAAGGGCCACCCTGACGCACGCGCATATTAGTGGTGATGTGTAAGACTTGAACATGTTGCTGCAACCAAATTTTAGTTACACGGATAGTTTTTTGTACTATCTCGGACCGTTTACCCTGCTTCACAACAGGAAGCACTTGACGACAGCCTTTTATATAAGAGTTGAGTTATAATAAGTGGCCTCAGCACAGCACCGATATCTTTTAATTGGCTTACTATCATTGACACTCGATTAACATAATAGACTCAGTCTGTATAACATCTCATTACTCATCCTCACTTTTTGCAATTCCCCACTTTTGCTGCTGCAAAAAGCGGGGGACCACTGTACAACTGCTGCTAGATTATTCGAATTTTTGCTGGAGGAGTAAAGAAGACTAAAGAAATGTTCATGTACTCAGCAGTGCCCTGCAAGAATTTACCATGGACAGTACGCATAATCGAAAACGCAACAGACTGCCCACCCTTCGAGGGCAATCACGGGCATTACAATTATGGGAGTATAGCACACCCCAGCGGTATTGCGTAAAGTTTTGCCCAGAACCAATCTCGAAATTTAGCATTGTGTTAAGAAATTGTTTATTCTGTGTAACAACGACGACAATGGGGACAAGGCCGCCGCAGGGCTAACCAATGGAGGAGAAGAGCAATGGCCCACAACCATCGACCTTATTGTGCTGCATTCTAAAACAGACTTATATATTAAACAATAATAGAGCATGTATCGCTCAATCTGCCGACCAACAGCTGCATGTAGTCTAAAGCTCAATCAGTGAGTAGCATCGTTGTGCTCAGTGGCTCGTTTTTTTTCCAATCTTCGACATATACTACAGTACTTCTATTTTTACAAACAAGGTCACAATAGAATAAAAGCATATTGTTTTACTCTTTGTTTTCGACATATACTCCTTCTATTTTTTTACAAACAAGGTCGCAATAACAATGAAAGCATATGGTTTTACTCTCTGTTCAACAGAGAGGGATCCTGCGGTCTTTCCCATTTTGAAAGGCTGTGATAGTATTTAACGATAACAGAAAAACGAATCTTTGCATATGCTTCTTTGTTAGTTCCTACAATAGCGAGAAGGAACACGTCTCTTTTGCATGGTATAAATTGAAAACAAAGAGTCTGCTCGATACCCGAAGCTATTACCAGAAGCCAGTACTATTGTCTCGACGTCTTTCTCTCCGTATATAAATACTGGCATATCAAATGCAAAACGATTTCATAATATACACACTACACCTTCTATATACCTACTCTACATCTATCTATTTGCCTCACCAACGTCTCTTTCTGTCTTTCATCCTCTTGAAATGGCATATTTTCCATCGCAAGAGTCAACGCCAGAGTCAGCAAGTTCTCCTCAGCAGCAAGAGGTTGCAAGCCCACCAACTCCACAGCAACCTGGATCGCCACAGCGTGAAGGACAGCCCCTTGAAGAGCAGACGGGTGAAGGGCATTCTGGACAGCAAGAGCGTACCCAAGAAAGTCAGTCTGGTAAAGGAGCTCAGCAGCAACGAAGCCGCGCCGACAAATGGAAAGGCCGCGCAGTTCCGGGACAAGGTATGTACAATTATTTTAATGGATGCTGCTGCTGACATAAAATCCAGCTTAATTCTAACACGACTCCATTCTGAACAATTGAAGGAGGATCTGGCGAACTATCAACCTCTTCTGCCTCTGGTATGTCTCATCGTTCACTTTGTGTTACTCAACAATGTTTATAATGAAACGTCAAACAACGGGATTTCCTTTTTCACTAACAAAGAAAATCAAATAATCTAATGCAGGTACTCCTGAGCAGCAATTCCCGTCGCGGGCAGGCTCCAAGCGCGCGCACGAGCAAGTGGACCGTGGCGACAAGGAAGGAGAAGAGGAGAGATCTCCCAGAGCCCGCGGATCGGGTAGTGCATCGCCGACTCTGGACAGCAAAAAGGTCGCGGAAACGTACGTATAATTCATGACAAAATGCTATTGTTACTACGTGACGAGGAAGAACAAGGAAACCACTCATAGGTAAGCAACTTGTACATGTCATAGACTACTTCCTTGGTTAGCCACTCTGTCAACAGTCATCAAGCTCTCCAATGAGGATTTTAAGGTCGCCAACAAAAAATTATCAATGATCAGTGATCGTTACCAGTTTTTGGAAAACCTTTTCGATTTTACCCAAGATTTAGAGAACTGTCTTTCACCACCTCCTTATCCTATATTTCTCCCGGAAGACCCCCTTGCCGACTATCTAGTCCTGATGAAACATCAGCTTTCTGTTCAGGCTTCTGAATACATACGGTTGAATCGACAAGGCGGGAGAAAATCACCCTCAGTAACAACATCTTCTTCGCCTGCGGCTGCGGATGCGGGTTCGTCGTCATCGTCAGCTCAAGCCCCAACAACAACAGCGCCACCAGCAGCATCGACAGCCGAAAAAGTGGATACGAAGAAACAAAAGAAAGAAGCAGTCGATCCTGAGGAACGAAAGGAAGAAGAAGTTGATTCCGAGGAACGAAAGGAAGAAGAAGTTGATCCCGAGGAACGAAAGGAAGAAGAAGTCGATCCTGAGGAACGAAAGGAAGAAGGAGTCTGAGGAACGAAAGAAAGGAAAAAAACGCATGGGCTATATTAGCTTATGATGATGCTCAATTTTTACTCGTTCATATATGAGAAATGCAATAGTATTGTTAGTACAAGTAGTAATAGCAATGCACCAGTTTATTCTTTTGTCTCTCAATAAATCGTAAAATCACTGAATTTGTCTTCAATCTTCAAAAGTGTAATAGCGATAATATCAACTCGGTCATGACCCAAAAGTGATCGGCTTAGCGAATAATCGGCTTATCGAATTCGATGCCCGATATAATGAGTGGGGTCTTCGTCTGTTAATACTATATACACAGTAACCATTTTGGTCGCTTGTTCGACTCCCGCATGTCTCAGATATATGAAGAGATGAAATACTATGATTTTATTGGTCTATATAAGCCGATATGTCACAGAGAAATGATCGGTGATCGGCTTACCGAGCAAGCTCGATATTCACTGCTTACCGGGTCGGTAATTCTGAAAAGTGATCGGCTTAGCGAGCGGCTACTGTACGTATTCGCCTGAATGCTGTGTAGCTTTACTTGTGCCCCGACTACTACTGGTAAATGACCAGATAGCGGTCTGGCCATGTGAATCGTTCAAATTACGTATATGCTTCTCAAGAGACACTGTACAATATTCCAATTCGTATTTTACTACACGACCCGAACTAAACTTGATATGTACTGCAAGTGCCTTCTAACAGAACCGAGCTGTTACTAGGCAGACATTCAGCTAACAGAGACAAGAAGGCGGGTTGGCAGGCCGATTCGTATACTACTACGAGTGGCACATAGTGCACTCATTACATACATACACACACAGCTTTCTCCTCATTACAACACAATATCATATATGATACTGTAAACTTAAGAAGAATGGGGTGGATATGAAATTAAAGAGTCAGAATTTTACGTACAGTATGTTGCTCTTGCTGATTGGTATTATATGTAAAGAAAAGATTAAAGCTAAGTATAATTTTACAGTAGTTTCGGTTTTTCTGTTTCTTTGATTGATTGATAGATCTTCTGGCGTTTCTAATTGGACGTGTGTGTGTATGTGCAGATGTGGACGTGTGGAGAATTGATTAATAAAGTCCTAAAATAAATTGTATGCAAAGAAGAGGGGATCTAACAAAGAAGAAGGAAAAAGGCTAAGGTTTCCTATTTTAGTACTGCTATGATAGTACTACTGCTTCATGAAAAAGATGACGATAAGTGCGTGGATGCTGGTAATAGTGAGGTACGCCTACGGGTACAGCTGGTGGTGTAGGTACTTCTCGGATGATAATGTAAGTGCGTTTGGGTTCCGGAGGTGGCATGGGTGCCTTTGATGATATTATGAAAGCAGCAAAACAGCACGGTTTGTTTGAGTGAGAAGGGAAGACTTGCTGTTAGAAGATGTGATATATTGAAAAAAAGACAGATACATACCAAGAAGCAGACTTCGAGATCTTTCTCGTCCACCAGGCCCCATCTGCTATCCTCTTCTTCGACCGCAAGTCGGTAGTTCTCGGCTACACCTGGAAGCAAGCCCCATGCCGAGGGATCTCTTAAAATGTCATAGTGCTCTCGTTGCTGTTGTTGGCTTTGCAAACAAATACCACGAATCGACCGTTCGGCCTCTTGCATTCTGTTTTCCCAAGCGGACGATGTCTTGAAATGTGTAAAGTCAATATCCCGGCCACGGAAGAGTGAGTGACGTCGCGAATGGTGATGCTGTTGCTGTTTTACGTTGAAACTTGTTACCGCTACCGGCGGTTGTGCTGATGTTGTGTTCCAAAAGAGCTCATAGGCCATGGTGGAGATATTGTTCACGATCAATGAGGTAAGAGACCAACATCCTTTGGTTGGTCGCTCGTCACGCGCTTCTTCTTGTTCTTGTTTTTTTTGTGCTACCTGGTCCCGCTGGTACGGATCATAGCAGGGGCCGAAAATTTGTCGCTTCATGGTGCCAAAGATGCCGAGCAGCCCCATCAGACCACTAGGTTGACTAGGTCGTGCTTCGACCGCTGTCGCCATCGTTGTCGTATAACTATCACTAGTCGCTTGCTGTTGGTTCTGAGCCTTGCCGCCGGTGGTCACGAAAACCTTGCCAAGGAGATATTTCCACATTTTTTGTGCTGGTATTTTTACAAGAAGTTATAGACAAAGAGATATTGGGTACAAGTGTGCGTAATGTGTTGCTCAAAGCACTGTTTGGGTATTGAGATCAAGAGGTAGTAGTAGAGTAAAACAAGGGTTGAAAGTGGAAGATGAAGGAAAGAGAGATGAGAAGATTGAGGGAAGACGCACAGCTTTGATTGATTTTTATAATGTGACAGAGGCACTGAAGTGCATGTCACAGCTTTGATTGATGAAAACGTTCCATCTCCTGTCCGCTCTTTTTTTTTGGGTCTGTATTCTCTCACACATACACACAATCACCATTCTCCAAACAGCAGCAAACCCATGCATTGCCCTTTCTCCTGCTGATTAAACGCTTTCCTTCCATAGCCTCTTCACTACTGCCTTCTTTTGTGTATGTACGCTTTCAATACGACTTCTTATTCGCTCTATGTTCTCTTGGGCTGTATCTTGTAGTAGTAGCAGTCATACCCACCTGTTTCCTTGGTTCAGACGTGTACGCAGCCCGAGTTAAAAACAATAAGCAAACATTCCGAAGCCGTAACCTGCTAAGCACAGCCTCCTCAACAGACTTGTAGGTCCGTGAATACACTACATCATTGTTGTGTTCTTGTTGCTATTTGTCACAATAACACTTACTCTATCACCCACCATATGACCTAAATGTTATGTCGGTAGTCGTATATCACCCATTATGAGTCTTGCCTAGTTATCGTTTTGAATGAGTAATGTCAAACACACATCGCAGAAACTATCAAAGCGTCATACAGATGTATATCTTTCACTCTATTATCCACAATAGGACTTGAATGTTATGCCGGTAGTCGTATATCACTCATCACGAGTTTTGCTTGGATATGCTTGGATATCGTTTTGGATGATTAATGTCAAAACACATCGCAGAAGCTTTTAAAGCGTCATACAGATGCATAAATCTTTCATTGTTCTGTCGTGATTTTCATGTGTCCTTCTTTCCAGCGATGAGTTATTCGTTTCAGTTCAATAATGTATATACGCCCCGGTGATGCAACGGAGAGACATGAGGATGTAGATTGAAACACCCTGCTGCTGCTACGACAATGGCCAATAAGGATGGTGGACACCTTTACATGTTCACTACTACTGATATATACGTCTACTTTTGTAATCCAATTCTCACCTTGCTTCTAGCTTATATCATCTCGCTCTCTCCCGCTCATTCTGTGATTACCTTAAACATTCCTCTGCCATTTTTTCTATTTATTTTCCCACTTTCTTATTGTCTTACTACCCCTCTGTAAAATTACCATTCAAGCATCGACAATTTCGTATCGCAGGGAAGCGAGCGTATGCCTTATGGCGCTGGTCAATCCATCCTTCCATAAATAAAACAAACATTTAAACTAGCAGTATGATAATTATCAAATACTCCTTCAGATAACTAATATTGCCAACCGATGATCTTGATCCAAAAGATCCATGTTAAGTATTGGCTCGGATTCGCTTTTAACGCATCTCCTTGGCAACCGCACATATCTTCTTTCTTCGAAGCCGAAGAGTGGTGATTGTTCTAGTTCTTGTTTGATGAAAACGTATGCGATAGCCACTGTTTCCGATAATGAGTGTTTTGTCGAGGATCGGAAATGGGACGAGATAATTCGTGAGACTCTTAACGGTCAAGTTTTTATTACGAGAGAAAGAGACAGTTCATAATATTCTTATTACTAGTTATTCATATAGAGAAATTGTCCTTGTGGAATTTAATTGATGTCCCGATCCTCTGGATACAACAATGAGTCTTGATTCGGTTGAGTAAACAGCTTGTGCCCAGTAATTTGACGATGAATTTTCATGTAACTGGTATAGTCAGTATTATCAAGCATGCTGTAAATTTGAGAAGGAACAGGATGGATGGTAACGTAGCAATACGTTCAACTTTTAACTTGTATATTAAATAGCTACATATCTACTTTTTATAATGGAAATTGTGTTTCTTTGATTACACTTCTACGTTTATCAACGCCTACAACTTACGCCATCATGGCAATTGCAACACTTCAAATACTCTTCTTCATTTAATAATCCTTTGTTAGTATATTTATAGAGCAACTGTTTATTTTTTTGTATCTATTTGGTTTATTTGAGGAAAAATGGATTGTCAAGCACTTTTTTGGAGTGCCCCTAGTAATACTCATGTTTAATAGATTAAATGTTATCATGTTGAGGCATATAAAGAGGGCCCTCTGTAATCATACTTTCCGACATTGATGTTATATGCTAAAGCATTTTAAAATAAACACTCGCTAATAAAAATGAAGTCTGCCAAAAATAAGAGCTCAATCAAAGATTGAAAGAGGAAAAAACCAGTATTTAGATAGTAAGCATTGATTATAGACGCTTCTGTGTCAACTCTTCCACTGCGGCTTTAAAAACTGGAGCCTTGGCCTATCTTGTAACTGCGATGTTCCAACTCATAAATTTCCCGTAAGATATAAAGACAGGCGATTTGGTCTAGCAATAAATAGATAACGAATGAGGAACGTATTGCATGTAATCATATACTAGGACGAGAGGAACGAGTAGATACCATGAACGAATCAAATACAAGCTTTTACGACTTAAAGCAGAATACAAGTGATATATACTAATACTGTAAAGACTACAATAATATCCGTAAATATTAGACCATTCTTATAACGATCGGTGTGGCTTCTCTTGATATTACGTTTTGAGTTCGCTCGTGTTCGTAACGGTTGCCAAAACGGTGGCAAAAGGAAAATTAGCAGAAAAAGAGAGCATTGTTCAGTTGATTGAGAACCATAGAATATATATATGCGCTATCTGCATGCGGGGGACATGTATCTTGGTGCTATCCAACCTAGCAACACAAGTCACTCTGGGCTATAATACCACAAAGAGGGCCTTGAATGCTAGCTACGGTCCTCTGACTTAGCATTCATTATAAGTAAAATATAGCAATGAGATGGTAAGGAGCTACTACTGTATATTGGAGGGAGTATAAGAAAGCATACATGATAATAGTGGGACTGAGACATATGATCAACACAGAAAGATGGGAAAATATATGGCGTGATGGGTAACATGATAAGATGAATAGATATAGGCGGGGCATAGTTAGCGAGCGGATAATTTCCGATAAGCTTGTAAAGAGCGACATCGTTCAGGAGGATCAAGGGTAGAGATCCTCCCGTTAAGGCGTCCCACGCTCTAAACCCGAAACCCTAGTGAAGGTGAGGCAGAGACAACAGGAGAAGTGGGTGGAGGCGAATTGTTGATCATAGGCGCAGGTGATGGTGGCGAGGTAGTAGCTATAGGGAGTATAGGAGGAGGATTATCAGTAATCTTCAGCGAAAATTGCATTATGACCAAAAATTAGTAAGTAGACAGTACCGCGGTTGATAGGGCTAAGTGGGCATTCTCTATGATTACGCCTACGATGAGTGCTCGAGCCACAGACGCAAATTGTAGGCGCAGTAGGGTCTACGGAAACAAACTATCCGTAGCTTTCAAAGTAAGCAAACTGCTGCAGCAGTAATATTCAAATACACATGGTTAAAACATATGTTGCCTATTCTACGGCGAACACTGTGAGAATGCACTGGACATGGCCCATTGCGATCTGAGCCACAGTGACAGATATGATCGGTTGATTGCTTTGTCGAGAAATGTGCAGAAAAAATTTAGTTAGTAAACTTGAAGCTCATTTAGAGCAGTCTGTCAGAATCCCGGCTAACGTGAAAGATGCTCAACGATTTTTACAAAAAGACCTCAAATGTCATTGATAGCAGATAATCCCAGACTGTGACTTTTCTTATCTGTGACGTATCGTAGAGCAACTCCCCAGAAAAAGAGCCAAGGCGTATTTCTTTCTGTTTTCTTTATCTTGTAAATCTTGGCCAAGGAAGCGTCGGACTGGTGTCGTCCTGTTCGCCGTCAGTCTTGTGATGCAGCCCGGGACGCCCTAAGTGAGAGTGAAGCGCTTTGTCGGGCCCTTGTGCGTTGCAATAGCGACTTCATCAATAGCGCCGTGCCATAGTAGGGCTTCTCCTTCCTATCGATGTAGAGACCCACCAGCTGTGAACAAATCTGTACAATAAATATCCTTCTCACCCTTTTTTTCTTCTTGTTTTCATATAACAACCCTCACCTTTGTTTTCTGGATTTATCCTTCCTTGCCCCACCTACCACTCACTACAATAAACCTGTCGCATTTCCTATCTCATATATCATGAATACTTGTTCCATATCGCGCGTCGCGTATGCATGATAACACGTGAACACGCCTTTATTTTGGGATCAGTCGACATCAGTTGGGCACGCAGTTTTTTGGACACGACATCCAATTCAAAATCAGCGACTTTTCATTCTGACATGACTGTAAAAAAACGAGGTTTATGATGGTTGTCGGTATCGTAGGTATTTTTCTTCAAATTCTAGACCAACTCAGGTTTACGGTGTTGCCTGAATGCTAAGTATTAGTCCCTCCTCTTAAAGTCAACAAACAAAAGGACCATGTCAATAAATAGATATGTCAATGGTTGCTTGATCTGCAGGCATAAATGACGTTGAATGCTAATGGGAATGTTATTTATAGGTGCATACTAGGAAATATTGAGTATTATTTGATGTATCACAAAAGTTGCTAATATTATATGCAGGTTCTTTTCAGGATATGCCAGCGTATGATACATTATCAAGAGAAACATCAGTGAAACTAGTTGCCATCGTCAAAAACTGCCACCAATCACTTACTTTTCCTGTCAATTTTAGATCCCATGTGATCTTTTTGAACGAACAAGTGGACGAGTAGTGGTAGATGATTTGTCGAATGAAATGAAAAGGCTCGATTACACAAAAGAATGCATCATAGCACGCGTATCTGTAGATCATTGCCTATTTTATTATGAAGAACGTTACTGACAAAAGTCAAGGTCCGAGAAACCACGGAATAGAAAGGCAATACGGGATCCCTTGTACTAAAATGAATCTGACAATAGATGCTGGCTGACACTATGGCGTCTGCTTTGGTTAATTACCTCGGCTTACTTGTGTGAGGGTATCAGTGGCTTTCAAGGTATACATTTATCATAATGACGTTGATTGCTGAACATTTTCTTATCATCTCTGGTGGTTAGTCAGATCCTAGAGTTGGCTGCTTAGTAGTGTCGCATTGTAATGCCCCGAAATTTGGCTATAATACGAACATCAAGATACTAACCTCTTCTTATGTTTTCATGGTAAACTTGCTATGTGCTAGATGATAACTTGATTGGTTTGGCTGTGCATAAGTAGTCAAATCTAGACACTCGCGTCGTAGCGTGGTTATGTACAAGCGGTGCTTCGGGCGTAAGTTTGAGGTGTTTATTCTATGATGGCAAGCCACGTGATTTAGAAAGAAGCTGTTAACGCAACTTCCGTGCTGCCATAGTATGGTACCCCTACTGCTATAAACCTTTTCCGCTCGATGGAGTTCCAGCATGTTTGAAAAAACTGCCGTCCTCCCGGGTGGGAGTTGGCCCGAGATGTATGTAGCTCTCAGCCACGCAGCGTATACCCGCATGCAAGCAAACATGCATACAGGAGCTCTTTCTTTGTGTTTTTCCTTTGGATATATACTGCATTCATGTGCGTGCTTAGCACTCAAGTAAGAGTACACGATTTAAAAAAAGAAACTTAAGATGGCGTGTACATATTCCGGCGGTGGCAACAAAAGGAAAAGGTTTCGACGCACACACACGCCCCAAGATAACGAGGGACAGGGCAGAAACGTTGGCGACTTCCATTTATGTTAGAAAGAGAGTAATGAAGCCGCAAGTCATTTGACCCAAGAGAAAGCAAAAAGAAAAGGACTTGTTCAACGTTACACGATTATCATTGCGACGGGCAACACTGTGGCGCCGCCGAGTTCAGAAGCCACAAATGCGGTGCCTCAGGGTTACCCAAACAACGAATAGCATGATTGGAAATTTCCTGCGGCTGCTCCTGCTGGTCCAACTTGTTGACCTCCTTCACTTACTCCTCTCACCCTCGCCAGTTATCCCCAAAAAAGGAGCAGATTATCGACTCAAAATTTCCAGTCTACGTTAAAACGACAGGCTTCCTGCCGGTCGCCACAGAGACAGGCTGAACCCTGCATGTTTAAATCGGTGTAGAGGCAAAACATAAAAGAGGCCTGAGTTTGTGCTGGAAAAAGTGGGCGGATCCTAAAATCTCAAAGGGCCATCCACAGCTCATTTTCCGCGTGCTGTGTTGTGCTGCCCAACACGACGACGCTCTTCTCTTCTCTGCTGCTCCTCCTACTCTTCTTTTACTTATTCACACATACTTTCTTTAGCACTCGCCCTTTTACTGAGAGAGCTTTTCTCCACTTGTTGTTGATCGAACATGTCATTGACAAATATAATGGATAGTCCTCCATTGCATCCAACAGCAGCAACAACAACAACTGCTGCTGCTGCTGCGACTGCGGTGCATCACTCTTACAAACACCATTATTATTCACCTTCGCATTCGCCAAAAGACAACAACAAGCACACAAAGCATGACCCGTCTTCGATCCCAGCACTACTCAACAATGATCATCAAGACGAGCAAGACTTTTTACCGACACCAGTAACACCAGTCAACGGATTTCCGCTACCTTTATCAGCAAGGAGGGAAAGTAATGGGAGCGGTGGTAGGGGCGGCGGCAGCAGCAGCGGCAGCGTCATTTTCGCTATTTCAGGCGGTGCACAGAGCGATGGCGCTAATAAGCGGTTGAGTAACACGAGCAGCAGCACCACGGCAAATGCGGATAAAAGCTTTATGTGCGGTGAATGTGATCAAACCTTCACTCGTCCGCACAATCTCAAGTCGCACCTGGCGACCCATTCTCAAGAACGGCCATTCCAGGTAAGCTTTGCACCAATCATCCACTGCTTTGTTTTGTTTATATCACACCAACACACACTATCTAGTGCGAGATCTGCAACCATCATTTCCGCCGGCAGCACGATTTGAAGCGACACAAAAAGTTGCACACTGGAGAACGACCCTACGTATGTAAATCGTGTTCTCGGTCCTTTGCTCGTTTAGATGCCCTGAACAGACACCAGCGCGCAGAGGGCGGGTCAGCCTGTACGAACGCCAGCTCCAAAAAAGTCAACCATGAAACGAACGTGAGCTCTCAACATCATCATCGACAGCACCAGCAAAAGGTAACGCCACGCCGATGCTTCATACCAGAGCTGGACATTCCCCATCCAGCCTCTCAGCCACTAGCAGAACAAGCTTATCCACACCCTCCTCCTGCAGCGCCACCTCCTGCGAATCTGCTACCGTCGCCCAACGTCTTATCCACCCTGCCTGTCTCTGAATCTCCCGATCTTGTCCCTATTCAACCATTTGCTAGAGCTTCTTCCTCCCCCTCCTCCTCCTCCTCTTCTTCTTCTTCACCGTCATCGTCTTCGTCGCAACCCTCCACTACAGAACCGTATCATCAACGCCATCATCAACGACTACCACAACCTTGGGAGCGCCTAGAGCAAGAAAACAGTTCACTTCGAGATGAAATTGCAAGGTTACGTGCTGCATGTGAAAAGAAAGATACCCTAGCCTCTGAAGTCCACGACTTGCGCATCGAGGTAAGACTCTCTCGCTCCCACTTTTATTGCACCCCTGCTTTCTGTTTGCCTTTTCCGCTAGCAATTAAAGATTGATCCGATGTCTGTTGCTATTATTAATACTGTTATTGTTGTCTAGAACAAGGTCCTCCGCTCTCTCATCATGGATGCAAAACGCGATCGACCAGACGATGGCATGGGTAATAACGGATCCTACAATAAACGCCATCGATCATAAACATCGATACCTCAATAGATTCATACTTCCCTCCTAGCCCCTCTTCTTATTACTAAACACATCCCCTCTACTATTACTACTACCACTTACTACTTACAGAGCATTACGTCATTGTTGTTACCCACATCCTCATTCCTTTCCTTTTCAGCAAAAGAGAGAAAAACCAAAATATAGCGCTCATTGAAAACACATAAAGTGATAATAAAAAGTTTGTTTTACATACTCTAATTCTTTACAATACGTTCTATACAAAAATTGGACATCTCCATATCTCGTCAATGTCATCCTGTCCGAGCGGATTGGTCTGGCTTTCTTCTGCGGCCTTCAACGCGTCTTGTACATATATCGGGTCGCGCATTCCGGTGAATACAGTTCCGACTTGTTCGTGCGCTAGTAGGAGTCGTAGTACCTTGACCGACAAAGGCGAGTATAAACCGTGTCCGTTTTGCTTGCTCAGAGTAGGACTGAGTGCGTTCAAGATGCGGTCCAGCTCGCTATTCTTGCGCAGCGTGTCAATGTATGCATATCCCACAATATCATCTGCCAAAACGCGCACACTCTGTAATGCATGCCATGCATACATGCAAAAAGAAACAGTCAGCCGTCGAAATTCAACCCCTCTTTTTGTCCCCTTATTTACCTCGCGATATTCATTGATCCAATCATCAAATGCATGCACTCGATCGTCTTCAAGCTCGGCGGCATAGTTCTCTAGTATCTTGATGTCCTTCTCGACAGCTGGCAATACTTGCTGAGACAAGTAGTGCCGTGCTGCAAAATGGTTTTGAGATAGACGTGACAGATTTTCGGAAAGGACCTATTCATTACATTCTTTCGTTAATAAGCAATTTGTCCACTCGACCCTTATTTCTCTCCCCTTGCACCTTGCATATAAAAAAAGAATTACTGCGCCATTTACCTGACCCCATACAAACTTTGCAGTTAGGCTATCCTCTTGTAGAGGTACTGTACATTGGTAAAAACGAGCTATTTTTAGCAAATAGTTGAACCACCCCACAACAAATAATTTGCTTGAACGGAACAACTTACATTCAGAAAGCATATCTGACTCCAAGGTCGAAACTTTATCGAATGACTTTGACATTTTATCCATCAGTTCACGTTCACCTTTGCGAAAGAAAACATTAGTTTAATGCTTCTCCAGGTCACGCATGTAAACGATCCCATAATCCACAACCTGTGGAAAAACTCACTTGAACGCGACCCTTCGGTATCACCGCCACCCAGTGCATGATTCACTAATACGCGGATTTGTCCATTTGCGATAGCGTTTAGAGGACGATTGGTCATTAGGTGGATGCCGTTCTCCTTGATAAAATGTCATCAGTACACAAGCTCTTTTTTACACACATCCCACCTGTTTAAATACTATTTTAAAGTAGTAGTCTACCTTGGCGATATCGCTCACAGTTTTGCTACCATCAGCAACGGCTACTTCGCGCTCAAAAATGTTAAAAGGTGCCTCCACAGCAACGAAATTGTCAGGTTTTGAGCAAGCATCGAGTACTTGAGATAAAGAGACATGGTCCACTGCTGATGGTAACGCCATGGTATTTGAACATAAGCCATATCCTCCAATTGTACCTGGAAGGGTGATCATTCATCCACTTTTAGTAATGCAATTCCAGGAGAAGACTCGTCATCTTTCATTAGCTTACCATTAGCCACTTGTGCGTCGAGATATTTGAAAGTTTCGCCTAGATCTTTGTATAATTGGGTGGAGCTATAACCCTAAACAAGCAAGCCCCTTTCAGCATATCAATACTCCCAATAAAAGTTGCTTTTCTATTATGTCTTACCCTATTCTTTGCCATCAACATGCGCTCCGGGCCATTGATCATAAAGATATCGAGTTTATCCGTCTTGAGCCTCTCTAACGATTTTGAGATCTGGCTTTCAATGACCTTGGCTGACACGGCGTGGAAACTCTTGTCATTGATTTTTACGTAGTCTTTGTTTTCGTCGAAGCCTTCAACGTCGGTAGCAGACAAGTAGCCCGCTTTTGTCACTACCGTCAAGTTCTGTATACATGCGATAAAGTAATTTAGCCTGCTTTTCCTCTCAATAAATTTCTTAATCTTATTCTTTTAAAAGCAACATATAAACAGTTTTAGTGCTTATTACTTGCGTTTCGATCCATTTCACCTGACGCCACCATTGCCTGCACAGTGTCGCCAATCAATGCCTCGGACGATCCTAAAATAAAAATATTGACGAGTTGAGTAAAGTTGGAATGGAGGAGGGCATTGGTGGAGTACGTGCGAGCGAAAGGATCCAACTGTTCCTATTACCATTCTGGAAGTTGGAAGCGGTATCGACAATGTTTATTCCTGCTAGAAGCCCTTGCCGTAAAGCTTGCTCGTGCTTGCCTTGCCCCTTAGACACACGGTACGCGCCGAAACCTAAACGCGTTACTTGACGAGCCATTTTTGGAATGACTGCTGTTGGTAGCTTTGCTTGTGTGGTGGTGGATACATGACGACGCGCTTGTTGAATGAAATGTTGCTGTAGCGTCATTTTTTAAAGTTTTTGGCAAATAATTAAAAAAAAATGCGAGGTGTGCTCAAAAGTTTAGGAAACCCATGTGACCGCGCGTCGTAGTGTGTGGCTCGACTGATCATCCCCACCCAAGCAGATGAGCGCATTTCAAATATATGTCGACATGATACCGGTGCGTTGCTATCACGTAGATATAACAAATCGTTGTGAACACATCTTTCCACCATGTATTCTCGGTCGAGAATCGGCGAGAAAATTTAACAAGAGTAACGATACACCTTTCATCAGTCATAAACTCCTCTTTATCAGTACGATATATCGGCCCAGACCCTTCTAGTTCTTGGTCTTTTTTCATTCCTCTTCTTTACCACAACATCCATTACACAAAGGAAAGGTCTCCTTAATTCTGCATAGGATACTATGATCATGTCTGTTCGTCGTTTTTTTTTTGTTGGCCAAGGAGGGAGAGTATGTCGAAACTTCTTACTATTCGAAAACAAGGCATCTCGAATTCCCCCTTTTTGCTTGCAGCAGGAAAACGAGTATGTAGTAAAACGCATTCTTACAGCCGAAATGGGTAGAACTAGTCCCGCGCCTCCGTAATGTCCCCTTAACGACCATGTTGGCAAATCGCATATGCGTGTGCCAATTAGTGACTGGCGGGTGCCACATATTGCGCATAGAACCGATATTTCTGTAAGGACAAGAATGCGATATGGCGTGATGGGCTGGGTTGAAAAAAAAAAGTCAAGCGCATTGTTGTTGGTTCCTCTGAGGTCAAGACTCGTCCACATTAATATGCATCAGCGTGGTAGTATTTGCTCACCAGGATTGTCAAAGATAGGGGTGAAGGTAAGTAGCGTGCAAAAGAGTATCTATTCTCGGCGCCATCCTTGTTGTTGGGTGCAAATTTAAGGCGATAACATAGGGGGCAAATAGCGGATTGGATAGGGCGGAAGAGGAAAATGAATGGGACTGGGAGGAGAAATAGACTATGAAAGAAGAAAAGGAGTCGACGTTTTTCACGGATCCAAGAAGAGAGAAAAGGGGGTTTGTCCGTTCAAGATATACAACCCGCCTACGATTGCTTATAGAGCTTGCAAGTAGCTCTTCTTGGGTCAACCCCTGACTTGGCAGTGCAAAATATATAAATGGACCAAGCGACTCATGGATGAAGCGTTAGTCTTTTCCCATATCCACTCAAACAAAGCCACACTACAAACATGAAGTTCTCACAAGTTCTCGCTCTTTTCGCCGTCCTTGCTGTCTCTGTCAGCGCCTGCAATGATAAGACCAAGCACAGCGGCAACCAGATCCAGCAAGCCAACAACAACGGTGCACGAGTGAACGATGCCAGTGGCAACACCATTGTAAGTTTCTTGCTTCTTTCTCTCGCTCTTTGATACTTTAGGGCTACAAAAACCTACGATGCATACATTGTACTACTTCTTTGTGCTAAAATATGCTTCTTTGAATGCTGCTGTAGGGTCTCAACAACCTTGCCCAGGAAGGAGTCCAAGTCGGCACTTCCGACGAGTCGAATGTCCAAATCTCCCAGTCGCAAGGCGCGTAGATTATCAACTTTGTAATTCGTCGACCAGGTCTACCCTTTTTCTTGCGGATGCTATTTTGCATTTGTTTATCCAGCAAAAAGCCATAGCATAGTATAATTCCTCATTGTCTTGTCTATTATATTATTGTTTGGATTATCCGCCTTGTTTGGATCTGTAAAGATGCAGTCCATAGTAGTAATAGCATAATAAACATATTTACAACATTCCACATCAAAGATGATAATTTGCTCTTCTCTATTATACAAACTTCTCCGCTATCCTTAACATAAAATCGTCAGTCTCCAATAACAGTTATTGCAAAGGACTTTAGGTTATACTTTATATCGATACTTGCATTTCTTTGTCACTCAGTAGGGCTACAGGAGCTTACACGGACGGTACTGATTGTTGCAAAATGATATTAACAACCGCCAAGTTACACAACCACACTCTTGTCATAGATGCATTGTCCAAGCACATATTCGCAGTCATCAAGACCATTCAACTTCGATGGGATAATCACACGAGACAAAGAAGCAAAGGGGGATGCAGACCGGAGAAACATGAATGAAATAGAAAGGAATGCTTGAAATGGGTGTATAACTGGATTTGCAAAGTGTATTACAGAAGAGTATCTACTAGTAGCTAAAAATCGATACATACACAATGTACATACAGTACTTCTTTTTTTGTCGCTTCCGCCGTCAATCGGTATGACATCCCATTATGTAAAAAAGAAACCATGTACTGCTAAGTAGATTCTATTCAGAAAAAGAGGTTTGACTGCGGGTTCTCCAAGATGGCCATCCTGCGTTTGCTCGCTCTTCTGACGGATTTCGGGAGGACCTGTTACTCGAGAGTCATTATTTCACTTTGACGTCTCCTTGGTGTGACTGGACTGTAGTACATACTATGCAGTAGTAGCCCAGTAACTGATTTGTGCAATAGCTATACGTAAGCTGCATTTAGAAAGATTCCCCTGCATGAAATAAAGATCATAACATCATTCGATGCCGAGTGAGCAGAGTTCTCATTTTGGTAACTCCATATAGTGCAACAGGTTGTAAAAACATAGTGCGCCATTTCTTTGTTCCTTTAAGCCGTGTAAAAACCTCCTGCTGCCATGAAATATGAATTTCCTAAAGACGTTGTTTCCGCTAAATTATATCCGAGTACTGTACAAAGGGGTGGGAACTGCTTCTTGAGGATCTAGACTTTCTGAGAGCTGCTCACAAATCTTTGATTCTCGAAAAGGAGAGAAGAGGTGTAGGCGATTCAAGTTCATCCGTTACGTTCATGTACAAAGAATAGTTCGACTCCGAGTCCTAATTGCGCAGTAAGAACGATGACGATGATAGACACATGCCCCTTCTTGTGTGTGCATAAAAAAAGGGTGAAAATAGTAGTGGTAGAGCGGAGCGTGTAAGTTGCTCTGCGCCCCATCCTTCTTGAAGGATCTAAACGAGCCATGGCAACGGAGACTCCTTTTCTATTATCAGCAAGATGATTAAGGAGTGTTTTTTCTCTTTAAACGGGGTAAACAGCCTCATCCAATAATGTGTATGCCCAAGCGTCTTTTTCTCTCTCCCGTTGACCCCGTCCTGCATGTGTCTCCTCGAACAACAACATTGAAGCTCATCAAAGTAATAAGCTCAGCAAACTGGCCAAACTTTGACGTTATATTAGAACGAATTTGAACGTATATGAGAACGAATTTGAACGTCAAAAAAAAAGATATATAAACACAAGGTATCGACTAGCCATCGAACATTATCTCATCAATCACACCAAGCAATCTCAATCAATCAATCATGAAGGCCTCCTACATCCTCGCTCTTTTCGCTGTCCTTGCCGTCTCCGCCAGCGCCAATCAAGCTAAGGACAACCAATACCAATCCGCTGACAACACTGCAGCCCAACTTACAAACAACGGCCAAAACACTGTCGTAAGTAGCATTTGTTGACCTTCTCCCTCTATTTCATGCTTACCATGATCAATGTGCACATCTATCTACGTTGACGCTCATCCTTCATTTATTTTTTCCCTATCACTACTCAGGGTGTCAACGGTGCTCTTGGCGAAGGTGTCGGTGTCCTTGCCAGCAAGGAGCAGACAGGCACTGTCGTCCAGACACAGAACAAAGACTAGCTCTACCCTAGTTTTTAATATTTTGCGGACGCTGTTTTAATTCTCCTTTTCCCCCCATTGCAAAGAGCCATATAGTATAACCTCCACTTATATTGTTTGGATGATCCGCCTTGTTAGGACTCGCTAACTATTTAAAGCAGTCCGTAGTAATCGAATACATACGTTTTCTCCTTATACCTGCTGTATCTACAACTTTTTGCTTTTTGATGGTGGTGGTTTATGGTTTTCTTTTGTGCAAGTTATATTTCATCATATATGCTTTAGATGAGGATGTAGCACCATGGTCTTTGGCTTAAGCCTTTAGGAAAGCGGGAAGAAAGCCTTTTAGTTCGTAATGATGGTTGAACTTAATGTTGAATATGATTTATTGCACAGATGCGCGCTTTCAAAGAAAATTGACAAATGTATTATCAAGTTTTGCGCGTACTTGTACCTTCCTTAAATACATAATTGGCTTCAGAACACTCCCCCCCTCCCTGAGGTGGGTTTTTGCCACGAGTGATTATGCTACTGTTCGTAGTAAAAGAAGACGACGTACGTAGATGAGGAGAAATTGCACAGTTATGACCATTATAAATTGTGTGGAAATGACTTACACGAAAGGATCCGTATATATCTACTTCATAGCTTTTACTATTTCGTAACTATCATGGTGCGCTATGTGCATATATACTTTATAGATGCAAATGTCGCATAACGTTAAAACGCGTTATGCTGCTTTATTTACAATTGTGGCCAACCAAAGAATACGTATGCATATTCCTTCAGTTAACAATGAGCATTGAACGTCGTCATTAAAGTGACACCAACTAGCGCTGAAGGCAACAGCGGAAATTGGTTATATCCTATGCATATGACGATCACGATTAATGGAGGCTCATACGTTCTTGTGGTAATAGCCTGCAGCACATTACTTGATATAGTTTCCGTACTGACACATATGTCAAATAGAACCGTTGTTCTGTTAGATTCCATGCAATTAATTGTATTTTACAAGGCAGTATGAGTATATGCTCTTTGTAGACGTGATACTAGCTGGAGCATAGAGTTGTAGCAGCCAAGGCAGTACAATTCAAATAGTAAAGGATTTCTGCTCAGATCGATTAAAGGATAAGATTCGCTCGTTGATCAATGCATTATGCACTATCCGTTGCTTAGCAAAGTCCTCTTTTGTTGCCACGGTGAAACATCACATCATACGCATAAACCTTGCATCAACCCTGTCTACAATATGCGTTTACCTATAAGCGTATCCACAAGATATAACATGGACAAGATTGCAATATATCGTTTATGGCCTTTGAGTCTTTTTAAGCCCGTCTGCTAAATAGAGAAAGAAGGAGGAAGACGCCTAAAAAATAGGTATATTTGTCATGTGAACTCGTTTTTTGTTTGTTTTGCCGAAATACAACTTTGTTTACTTCCATCCTGTTTTACACATATGTGCGGAAAGCTCAAGCTTCATATCTACTGTCGAGAAAGAAAGGCTGATTTTGTTGCATGATCAATTTGGAGAGATGTTTCCATAAAGATATCACGCGTTCGATGGACATTGAAAGAAAAGAGAAAGGCAACATGAAGGAGTTAAACAATTAGTTACTGCCGATTAAGTACCAGCAACAATGCTAAATATGAAACAGCAGTTAATGTAGAGTGGCGTTACTCTATACTATGGGAGTGAGTCACGCTGTTTCTTGTGTGACCGCAACACAGCAACAGTCATGATGTGGTAAAGCACGATCGGCAATGATAGATGGTGTCGCATCAAAACCACGCGAAGGCCCTTGTTTCGATTTTTCTGTGCGCTATCGCGGGAGATCAAGAAGAATATAGCAAGCTATCCAGTGCTTAAGGTAAAAAGTCCGTGTTATCTCCAGCAGATAAATATGATCTTTAGATGTGATTGGTGCATGGTATCTAAGTCCTGTTTATGGATATATCCCGCTTCAACTTATTTTTCTTCTTCTTCAGTAGGTGCCGCTGTCTGAAATGCATACATATATGCGTCGGCATAAAGCATAAAGGCAATGACGCGTCCTATGCAATACGATGGGACGGTTGAACGGGTCCATACAGTATGTCAAAAAGAGGAGCAAAGGTGGTCCAACAATGCGGGAGACAGAAAAAGAGACTTAGATGATCATCGATAAAAAAAACTTGGGACGATCGTACTAAAGCCCGCATGGGTTTCTATCGGCGTCATCGCGTTTATTTTTTTCTAGGAGGCGCGAGCGCGTGCGAGAGAGCGAGACACCAGCAAGAAAGGCGGGGGGGGGGGTGTAAGATCCCATATAAAATGCTGAGTTTCTGAAATTTTCCGCTATCGTTCTTCTTTTTCCCACTTTTTATACTCTCCACCAAAATGTCTGTCACCAAAGTCCACGCTCGCCAAATCTTTGATTCTCGCGGTAACCCCACCGTCGAATGCGAGGTGACCACTGCCAAGGGTGTCTTCCGCGCCGCCGTCCCCTCCGGTGCCTCCACGGGTATCTATGAAGCCCTTGAGCTCCGTGACAAGATCAAGACCGACTATGTCGGCAAAGGTAAGAAGAGAAGAGGGACAAGGGGGAAGGAAGGGAAGGGAGAATCGCGGGAAAGCGCGGGTTTTTGCTCACCAGGCATGAACCACCTCAGGTGTCCTCAAGGCCGTTGAGAACGTCAACAAGGTCATCGGCCCTGCCCTGATCGAATCCAAGCTGTCCGTTGTCGACCAGAAGGCCGTCGACGAGTTCATGCTCAAGCTGGACGGCACCAAGAACAAGGAAAAGTTGGGCGCCAACGCGATTTTGGGCGTGTCGCTTGCCGTCGCCAAGGCTGGTGCTGGCGAGAAGGGCGTGCCACTCTACGTGCACTTTGCCGACCTCTCTGACTCCAAGAAGCCGTTCGTCTTGCCCGTCCCCGCTTTCAACGTCATCAACGGTGGCTCGCACGCTGGCAACAAGCTGGCCATGCAAGAATTCATGATCTTGCCCACCGGCGCTTCCTCGTTCACCGAGGCTATGAAGATGGGCTCTGAGGTCTACCACACGCTCAAGAGCGTCATCAAGGACAAGTACGGCCAGGACGCCACGAACGTTGGTGACGAAGGTGGTTTCGCACCCAACATTCAGGACAACAAGGAGGGTCTGGAACTTCTTGTGACCGCCATCGAGAAGGCCGGCTACACCGGCAAGGTCAAGATCGGCATGGACAGCGCCGCTTCCGAGTTCTACAAGGATGGCAAGTACGACTTGGACTTCAAGAACCCCAGCTCGGACCCTGCCAACCACCTCACCGGCCAGCAGCTCGCTGACCTCTACAAGTCCTTTGCCGAAAAGTACCCCGTCGTCTCCATTGAAGACGCCTTTGACCAGGATGACTGGGACAACTGGGCCAACCTCGAGGCTACCTCCGACTACCAGCTCGTCGGCGACGACTTGCTGGTCACCAACCCTGAGCGTATCAAGACCGGCATTGAAAAGAAGGCCTGCAACGCCCTGCTGTTGAAGGTCAACCAGATCGGTACCATCACCGAAAGTATCCAGGCCGCCAAGGACGCACAGAACGCCGGCTGGGGCGTCATGGTTTCCCACCGCTCTGGTGAAACCGAAGACACCACCATTGCTGACTTGGTCGTCGGTCTCCGTACTGGCCAGATCAAGACCGGTGCTCCTTGCCGCTCCGAGCGTCTTGCCAAGTACAACCAGCTCCTCCGTATCGAAGAAGAGTTGGGTAGCAACAGCGTGTACGCTGGTGAGAACTTCCGCAAGGCTCATGATATGTAAATACTTCTTCCAACCCCCCACTTCATCCTCTTGTCATGTTTCATAATAAAAATATCTTCTCGCTCCTTTTCTCTGGTTTGCAATGCAATGAAAATAAGTCTTTTTTTTATACAGTACATGACATAATGAAAGGTGGGTTTGTATGAAGTATTAGATGCGCTGGATGAGTGAGTGTTGGAGTAAGGTAGGGGTAAGAGAGGGGTAACTTTAGTTTTTCTTGCGTTTTTGCTTTTTGCTACTTGCTGCTGCGGTTTGTGCATCTTGTCGCTCTTGCTTCAGTGCGCGTGCATTGAGCTTCTCATTCATCGCCTTCATCTTTAAGCCTACGCGTGCACCTAGCTCCTTTTCCCACTCGTCTTTGACCTTGCGATACAGCATCATCGTGAACCGTGCGTCTTCAATCTATACAATATACAATTGAGTAAGTCTTGCCCAATCCTGATGACATGTTAAACCTTACCGAAGAGTGACTTCCGGATTGAATATCAATCTCCAATATCTCCTTTACTAGCTTCTTCAGACCTGGCGTTCGTCCAGCCGCTAACTCGCGGAACGCCTTGAATTTTGAAGTGTCTCGAATCATTAATGGCGGATGAGTTAACATCAATACCGATAAATCGTTCTGAACGGCGTGGCCGACTAGAATGCGGTCCTGAATGATATCGTTGACTTTTTGCTGTGCTTCTCGAAACGACATTGCTAGTTATACATAGTAGTGCACAGTGAGCAGGCAACGTACAAGCTAGTAGACATCCCATATATCTCTTCTTCTAACTCACCGTCCTTCAAGTGCTCGGGCTTAATACCGCTGACAAAGGTTCGATAATCGGTGACACGATCCATTGGCTTGACATAGGAATCCAGTAGTACAGCACCGTGAAAGTTGACCAAACTGACCCGAGCCAACGCTGATGCAACGCCGTCTTCCCCAATACCCACCATTTCACAATCAATAGCTACGTACTTGCCGATCCTACATGAAGTTTATAGATAAAGACCCAATTAGATAACATATAGCGGAAAACGTTTGGGTAGCAATGATGAGTGGCAAGACGGATACTTGCTTTGCCTGGTCTCCTGAAACAGTGTCCATCTGTTGCACCATTTCTTTTTTCATTTCTTTGATCTCCTTGGCTGTTTTGCGTTTGCCGTACACTTGTTCGAACGTTTTCTCGTCAATATCTTCGCCGAACCATAGTTCGTCTTTGGACGGAACGGATGTTGTTGCAGTCTTTGTCGATTTTTCAACTTGAAGAACGGTTCCACTATTTATAAGAGAGAGAATAAAATACAACCATGAGTCGATCTAGCAAAATCTTCAAGACGAAAAACAACAAAATTTTACATTGTCTTTTTTGATCGTTTAAATTTGCCATCGGAATGCTGATCTTTAGCTTTTCGTTTTTTGTCGTTTGGTTTTTTAGGTTCTGCTTGTTGAATGGTCTATTTGCACCCCAACCAGTCCGGTCAGTTATAGCTAGTTATACATATACAGTACACAATCGATTTACCGGAAGTAACTTCTTCCAATTGGAACTTGGCGTAGTAATCACTGGCGGCTTTTGCTTCATTTTAGTTGTGCTGGAACGTATGTATTTATATATATACCCCTCGTTCGGTATCAAAGAAAGAAAAGCTGACAAGCTTCAAAGTTCCTGCGGCGGAGCGGAAATTTAAGCCACCAATTTCTCGCCATTCTCTTTTACCAACAGCAAAGGTTTTCCTCCCTCCTCTCCAAAACAACACTTTGCAACATAAAAAGTAGTGTATCAACAAACGTTCTTTTTCATTTTTTTTTTATTTAAAGAGTACGTTCCCAGTTCTAGTTTTTTTTTATCATTTTCTTATTCAAAATATAGAGTACACTCCCAATGGAAAATGTACCGCCGAGGATTGCGCTGGACAGCCATTGGCAGAGACGAAGCTCCTAACCTGAGCATCCATCGCACTTATCGACGGAATTGTATGTTCTTCAATTGTACGACGATTTCGATGCATCTTCGATAGCAATATGAATTGCCATCTCACACGAATGCTTTTTTAAGACAATTGTTTCGATGTTGTAAAGAAAAAAAAAGCGATATCACGAACGGGGGTCATTTATATAGTAGCCAAATGTCGGCGATATAAAAGTTTTTTTTGTGCGCCCGCTAACGAGCCAATCGCCTCAGCTTTAAGGTGTGTCAAATGTTGAAGGCGTGTATTGCCCATGAGTGCATCTGATTGGACGAACGCGTTTTGCGACATTCCGACATGTAAAAAGCCCGGCCTTTTGGCGTTTTGTAGACATTGGCAACTTATTGCTAATAGATCTTGTAGATCTCAATCGTCGCACAAGGGGGCAAACTACAATTCTCGGGCTCGCGCAGGTATCACTCCTACTATGTCAATTTCGTTTCTCAGCCATCACTGACTGATAGTGGCTATAGCTTGAATGTTGGTTTATTGATGGAAGACTGGGAAAATGCAAAGTGAGCGGGAGAAAGCGAGAAGATATATGATAGAAGCAAGGAGGTAACCGAATACATCACACTTATTGGTGGGGTGAAGAAAGAGAGAAGCGTTGTGAACGTAGTTTAGGGTCTTCGTGCTATATAAAAATATTGTTGTATCATCCAGATCACCCCACACGAAAAGTCCTGAAGGTATGGCCTTTGGGTGCGGTTTAAGTATTCTTCTCGATCGGCTAATATATTACACGCTCGCGTGATGGTCTATAAATGATGCTGCGTGTGCAACCACCACGATCAAGCTACTTTTTTTTTTTTGACTCGGTTGTTCCTTATCGTAACTGTAGTTTAACATATACAGACAGTGGTATTTGATATATATACGTTTTTGACACACATGATGTACACTATGTTAAGACGGGCAATTAAGCTGAATCAACTACTCCATGTCTCGGTCAAACAACCGCAACTAATTAATATAACGCAACCAAAAGAGTATGCGTAAAAACTTCCAGGGCACGTAGCAGGCTAAATAGAGGATCGGGCTATTGAATTAAACCAACTACAAAATATTAAAGGCTATTTATTGTAAGAAGCTGTGCGGCAATCTCCTTTTTTTTGGGTACCTGGGTGATTTCCGTGACGCCATGCCATTGTTACGCAAAAATGAAAAAAAAATGCAACAGGCATGCCAGTCCGGGGCAAGAACAAAAAGGTGTGACATTACTGCTGGGAGGATGGGAGTATTCGGGAAACTTTATGTATTGAGAAACTGTACTTTGCACAATTTGGCAGGAAGGATTCAAACGATGATGACAACAAAGTCTCTGTGGTGGCGGAACTGGAGCCTTTTCCTCTTTGTATATAAATGTTTCTGAGCTTATTGTTTTTACTGAATACTTGTTACTTGTGTCTATATCAAGTCCTCATATCTTCTTTTCCCAAAATTTCCCATCTCTGTTAAATTTTTGAGGTTTTAAACTACTCAGTCTCCAATAGGGGTTTGGTGGAGCTGCCATAATAGTAGATGAAAGTGATAAACAAATATATTGGCAGTCCTGTGAAATGAAAAGGGGATTTCAGAGGCTGAAATCAGGTACCATAAAAGCAACAATTAATCATGACGTTATCCCCTTACAAAGTGTAACGTAACGTGGTAATTCGTGCCTGGCTGGAAGCGAAGATTCCACAAAAGCTGGTTCATAAAGATCAACTACTGTATGCCCAAAAAAAAACGTCCTCGCCAGATTGTCAATCAAAACGATAAGGAAGACTTCAACGCTTGCTTTGCATATATGCAGCGAATGCCTATTGATCTATCAATGCACACTTATCAGTTAAACTTGTATATTATACATATAGCAATTGCTTGTTCAAGTGGAAAACTCGTTGCAGGAGGTGATAGGCAAAAGCAATTGTAAACAATAAATATTATGCCCACCATCGCCCACTCTACTTCGTAGTATCCCATGCTACGTACGCACATACGTAAGCTGATGAAGAAGATATGCTTTCACATGCCTCGCAAAATGCAGTTTTAAGTTACAGTATGGTTTACAATGATTAACAAGTGTCATGATCACCATGTTCATCATTAATGACCATATGATTTGCTTATTATTGTCATTGGCTATTGTGCAATATCGACATGACCACATATCTGCTATTGCGTTATGATGAAGAAAAGAGTCACTTCAATCCAAAAAAGGTGCTTTCCCAAATGCATCGCGGAAAGGAGGTGATGCATGCACCTTATGTTTCGGAAACAGTGGTCTGGTAGGGTAGTTTCATTGGTCAGCACTTACAAAAAAAGAGACATGAGGTGGTGTGGTCGTCATGAATATAAAAATGACAACAAGAACCGCATTATTGCTTGTCATTTGTTGCATTCATACTTTTTCTTTATTTCCACAACAACATGCCATTTATATACCAAACACTGTTTTGTACGTTATTAATAGCAAGCTGCTATTGCATGGCTTTTGTGGTGCCCACGAGCAAACATGCAGGAAGAATTCATGTTCAGGAACCAGGTAAAATGGAAATGCTTCTTAGCCTGCCATACGCAAGTTGATGTTAAATATGGCCTATATTATGTGTCAGGCACAGGGTACTACCACTGCCAGAACCATTACGACACCTATGATGACGACCGCCGACTTGCTTTAAACGACTATGTCCAACAAGAACTGGATATTAGCTGGAACGCCTTGCTTAGAAACATCAACCCACCAGGCTCTATGCGCGGTTTTGTAGCCGCATCTCCTTCTACTAGCTATCCAGATTACTTTTACACATGGACACGCGATGCTGCCCTGGTGATGCGAGTGGTGGTGGACAATTACAATGAAGACGGGGTCAAGAGGCTCCTTCATGACTATGTAGCTTCCGAAATATATCATCAGGTGACGTCGACGTTATGCGACTGCTTGGGTGAGCCAAAGTTCAGTAAGTACTACCTGCTATGTACATGTAACCACAAAGGACGTTATGAAATAGATAGGTTAGCATATGTTTTAACTAATGCGTGTACTGAATTGATAGATGCGGTAAATACAAGATAAAATGACAAGAGAAGGAACAAAGTAGATGTACTTGGAGACAAAGTGAAAGAGATGCGGGTGTGCTGATCTATTCTTTATTAGGATGGCTCGGGATATGACGGGTCATGGGGAAGGTAAAGCAAAGGGAAAGAGGCAGAAAGAAGGAGCACATATACCCACATCATAACGTCACGTAACAGCTAAACTATACTCTGCTATCATTTATTCTTAGACCTCAAAATGACGGGCCCGCTAGCCGTGCCATCACCATGATGTTACTCGCAGAAAAGTCACACGAGAACTATGTCAAGAAAACACTTGTGCCTGCCATTTTTGCAGATCTGGACTATGTTGCTGATGTTTGGTCGACGCCTTGCTTTGATCTATTTGAAGAAAGTGAGGGTTTGCACTCGTATACCCTCTTGGTAATGCGCCGTGCTCTGGTGGATGGTGCTCGATTTGCTTCACAGCACAGTGACCCTGGTCGCGCAGCAACCTACACTCGGGTCTCAGAAAAAATCCGCGAACGACTCGAGACTTTCTGGGATGGGGATCATGTTGTTGTTACTCAAGAGCACACTGGCGGCTTATACAAACCTTCTGGCCTTGATGTATCTGTTTTGCTGGGTGTAAACCAAGCTGGTACGTATGTTGCCCCCCCGCCTTGCTCGCTCGCTGTTGAAGGTCATACATAGAACAAAATCTCACGTGACATACATATACATGTTATAGGCTTGCCTCCTTTCACACCTGGTTCCGACAAGGTGATATAACCGTTCTCTCGCTTGGTATCGAGCTCTTAATGAAAAGAAAACAAAGCGATTACTGACTCAAATAACTATGCTGTAATAGATACTTGCCACTGCACATGCCTTGGAAAAATCGTTCGAGCGGCTCTATCATGTCAATAGCGCTCACCCCGATCAGCTTGGCACCGCCATTGGACGATATCCGGAGGATACGTACGATGGTTACAGGAGCGGTTCAGAAGGCAATCCATGGTTTCTTGCCACAGCTGGAATGGCAGAAACGTACTATCGTGCTACACTCGAATGGCAATCGGACCAGTCCAGTGTAGTCGTCAATGCTATCAATGGCCCTTTCTTTGGACGCTTGCTGGCACAAGAGCCAGAAAAACTAATAGGCACCACGTTCCATTACGGAACCCCGGACTTTGAAGCACTTGTCGGCAAAATGACAGAAGCTGCAGATCGATTTATGGCCACCATTCAATACCACCAACGACTCAACGGTTCTCTTTCAGAGCAATTTAACCGCTACACAGGATTCGAGCAAGGTGCCCGCGACCTCACTTGGTCATATGCTTCATTTATCTCTGCCGCAAAAGCGAGAAATGGGCGCCCAGTAAAATAGTTTCCATTCTTACAGAACAGTCCTTTTAATCTTTTCTTTGTATAAGTAAACATACATATGTGTATAAACGCTGTTTTGGAAAGTGGAAGCTGTATTTGTACTACAGTCCACTCGAGACATTGTGGCCTAAACTCCAAAGCTTCATTGGTTGATATCTATGATTGGAGATTTGTTTATAAAATCAAAAGGCTTTCTAATTACGAGTCTCATGCCCAGCTCTCCGTAAATATGTAAACCACAGTACATTGCTGACAAAAACATGTAAAAAAAACCAAATTATCGAGTGTCAAGTTTAGCTTTTTGCGCTGTACTTTCCAGAAACAGTGTATTTATATATAAAATGGATGATCAAGGTAAGAGGTGAAAGACGAGGGAATATGTACTTTGTAATGTGTTATATAGAGTAGAGGAATGTGAATGAAGAAAAAAAAATAAGGACCAAAATATACAACATCAACTAGGAAGGAATATACTACACCAATTATTATCGCGTGGCTTTTGTTCTTTTTCATGATCAACGCTCGTCGTCATCGCCATCCGCTGCGCCCGCAGCAGGATAATTGCGTCGTCTGCCAAGAAGCGTAGCATTGTCCATGTTAAGTTCGAACACCGGTTTGGACTTGCTGCGAGCATTGCGCTTTGACTCGCTCTTGTGCGGCGGAGGCTTCTCCGATCGCAAATGTTGTGTTACTCGGTCACGTTGGATCTTTTGAAGCATGCTACTTGGTGCGCTGCCACGTGAGTCTACTGTTGCTGCAGTGGTGGTGCTGCGTGGATTCTCGTCATCATACGATGAATTGTTGGACGAAGAGCCTGTAGTGCCGTCGTCGTTCAGGTTATCAATGTCATCTTCTTCGTCGTCACTGTATGCATTGCCCAAGGAGTTGGGCAAAGGTGCTACGCCATGGCGCTGCTGGCGTCGTCGAATTTCTTTCCGTCGCGACCGTTCTTCGGCCATGCGATGTACAGCGTAGGATACATCAAAGATCTCTTTCATAGACGACAGCCCTGAAAAGATATCTCGACGGCGTGCGTCTTTGGCGGGGGGCGAGGCTTTTGGAATATCAATGACTTCGGTCATTGGTCGTAAGGGGCTTGTGCCCTCAAGTTCTACGGGTGTCAGCTGTGCACTATCGGGCGCCTTGGTGATTTCTCCACTTGCTGGTTCTTCCACGGTAACTGCTTCCTTCTTTTTACTGCTTGAGAATGACTTTTGCTGCATCCATGGATGCTTCATGAACTGGTTTATGGTGTATCGTTCTTCAGGATCGATACAGAGCAAATGTTCGATCAGGTCTTTGGCTTCTGGAGAGATGGGGTCCCACCACGGGCTCAAAAATGTGTATTGGCCCTTGGCTACTTTCTCAGTAAGCACTTGGATGCTTTCGTCATAAAAGGGTGGGAAACCGCATAGCAGTGTGTATAGCACACAGCCTAATGCCCACATGTCCACCGATTTTGAATATCGCTCATCCTTTACTATCTCGGGTGCCGTGTATCCGACAGTTCCGCATGGTGTTTGCGTCGACTTTTTTTTAAGAACAAAGAAAAGGAGTTAGTGTTTGTGGAGTTCTCTTCGGCCCTACATACACAAAGAAAATGCATACCTGATCCCATACGACTTTGGACAGACCAAAATCGGCAATCTTGACACGACCAATACCACCGCCACCTACTCCATCGATGAATTGGCCTTCATCTTCTTTGTCATCATCCCCTGGCTGTAATGGTGGCGGTGTGGAGCTGCGTGCTGCAATCGGGATTGGGTTGAATAAAAGGTTTTCCGGTTTGATATCACTGGATGTCAGTTGCGAGGGAGGGATAGCAAAGAAAAGGTTAGTTGGAAACCTTGATTATTTATAGGATGAGTTGCAGTAACCATCATGCCAAGAATCCTTACCGATGGACAACGCCTTTCTCTTCGTGTAGATACCGAATCGCGTCTGCTACTTGACGTACACAGTGCCGTGCCAGATCTTCACTGAAATAGGTGAAACGTACAATCTGATGGAAGAGTTCGCCACCATCGCACAGCTCCAGAATAATAAAATAGTACTAGGACATATTTGTCAGCATATACAACAAACTAACCATTTTTCCTTTTGCATAGCAGCAACAAAACAACCCCTCCACTAGCCCCATACAATCCTTACCCCTTTTGTTTCAATGAATCCTTTGAGCTGTACAATGCACGGATGCTTTACGGTTCGCATAATCTGAACTTCTTTCAGTACGCTAGCTCTCTACAAAAGTACGACACCATCGAACGATGGTATCAGTAAAGAAAAGTATTTGCTTCTTCTCTCATGTTCTTTCCACTCACCTGCTGTGGTTTCAATTCGAATTTGCGTACAGCCTTTACGGCCACGTTTTCTTTAGTTTCCAGGTCAATTGCTTTGTATACGTTTGAGAATGCGCCACTATAAAGCAAGTCAGTAACAGAGTATAGCGTTCCAAGACCTAGAACAAGAAACGAACATACTCTCCAAGTTTATCCAGTAATTTGTATCGTTCTAAACCTTCGTAGTTTGGAAGTCGTTGCTTGGCTAGGTTTTCTTCTTCCACAAGACGAGCAACAGCTTCATACTTTTTCACGTCTTGCTGTGTAAATCCTTCGTCAAGGCTGGTACCGTCACTTGTTGCTGAGCTGTTGTTGCCAGACAGTGATATATTGCGGCTGCTGCGAATGAAGTTCTTGATTTGATTAAACACGGACATGTGGTAAATGTATGTTTGGTCCAACTGCGAGTTTTAGGATAGAAGGAAAGAGAGAGAGGCGAGTGTTGGGTGGCGAGAAGAGAGAAAAAGAGTCAAGTAGAAGAGACAGTGAGAAAGAGAAAGAAATTATTAAAAATAGAGTTACTTTGTTGGAATAGGGTTGATATGTACGCTTAGTTCAAAATAATGCGTCGTGGGGGTGCACAGTGGAAGAAGTGCCGAGAAAAAAAAAAAAAAAAACTGGCTGGTTGTTTCCCGATCGAATAAGAGAAAAAAGCTCCGCCGATTCTTTTCAATTTTAGAAATTCCATGACATCATGCTATCGTACATCTAATTTTGAAACCCGGTGATTTTTTCTTTTGTTCTTTCGCCTTCGCGCCGGTTTCCATTGTAGTTACTGGAAACATTCGCTGTTCTTGGAGAGAAATAGCCCAGACAGTGTACTACTAGACCATAGGTACAGTAGCAAGCCCACAAGGAGGACTCTCCTGTCAATGGCAACAAGAACTAAAGGCTTTGTCTTGGAATGATGACATATTTATTCTGCAAACTGTAACATGAAATTGAGTTTCAAGTCCAACCGAATCTCGTTTTTCCTTGTACTAAAGAAGAGTGAAAGTAGCACAAAGAGAAAAAGACTACTAGATGAGCAGCCAATAGAGTGACATGAGAAACATTGTCATTTTTCTTGTTATCTTCACTAACTCGTACATCACTAAAAGATCAGACAGTGTAAACAGTATATAGGATAGTAATCTAAGCACAGAGAGAGAGAGAGAGCCTATATTTGGAAACACATCATTCGCCTGCGACTGCAAGCAAACGTGCGTCATGTTTTTTACGTACGTGCAGATGTGCTGTCATGGAGTTGTTGCGTTGCTTGGAAGCAGTCACTAAGAGTGAACTGCACTTATTCCAACTAGGTTGTTAAGAAACATACGTCCATGCTATCGTCCGTCCTGCTAGCCAAAAGGGCGACTGCTGGAAGACGCGAGCTGCTCAGGATATACAGCTTCTATTGTGTAGTGTATAAAATACTCACCTGCCAGCCCCTTTACTGTATGAGCTGATGTCGAATTCTATTAGCACGTATGACGAGTGCAGGAATCGTTGCTATCGTAAGAAGCGTTTTCGAAAGCTGACATCGGAACATTAAAAGAAAGAATGCTGTCACGAACAAACAGTCGCTCTGATATTGACTGGTGAATCGTTCTATAAGTTTTCATGTTCATCTAAACAAAATAATACGCGTAACGCGATGGGAAAGTGGCTCGTTCTCTGACTACGATGATGGCTAGCCTCAAAAGCCTGAAAGATTCACCCCAGAACGGGAAACCCATAATTAGCGTAGCCCGCCCTTTCTTTTTGCTTTAAACAATTGTTCCCACTGTTATGAGCAACCGACTCTGCAAACTCGGAACACTGCCGACGCGTTCCTAATGGCAGGCGGAAATCAAAAAAAAAATCACGGTTTCTCTTTTATGTGCTGTGCTACTGCTGTCAAAACCATACAGGAGCAGGGCTACATTAAACTCTATCTGTCCTGCTTAGCAGTGGCGAGAATACAATGTGGTGCGTTGAATAGAGCACCCGGGTGTTGTCTATCTGGGCTACTGGACTGGCTGGCTCCTTGTGCTGTGTTCCTTGTTCGTGACAGAAAACAAAAGCTCTCCAAGGGGCATCTGCCCAATAGACCTTTTGTAAAAAAACAAAAATTAACCCCGTTTCGCGTGAGGGCAAACACCACACGTCGGAAAAGGAAACCTGTTTTCTTTATTCGGGCATAACGCTGAATGTACATATTAAAGCCGCCTATACTGCTAGTTGTTATTTCTATCCTCCCTCCCTCCCTCCCTTTCTCTCTCTCTCTTTTCTCTTTTCTTTTTCTTCCGTTCCTGTACATCTCTTTATCGTTTATTTTTCCTTTCTTCTGAAAAGAAAGCATTTATACTGTCGATGAATGAGAGCGAGATCGACGGCGTGAGATCGAAAAAAAATCCGTTCTTGTTTCTAAAGAACAAGTACCAATTTCTTTATCACTCTGTGCCAACAAAAAAAGGAGGTATATTGCCCAGAATTAAGCATTCCAGAATGTTGCACAGTAACCATCGAGACTTACACATATGCTTTCCAGGATCAATTGCTTCGACCAAAAGCAATAAGGGTCTCTTTGGCGCTTCACTTGAAGATGCACTCGTCGAATGCGGCTCCGTGACCTCGTCAGGTCTCTACGTGCCTGATCCTATTTGTCGATGTGCAAACGAAATAATTAAACGAGGTACAGTACAGCATCCGTCTTTGTTTCTGCTTCATCCCAGCGTCAGCAATAGCATTATCGTCAGCTCCAACCACTGAAAATTACAGAAATTCAATACTAGGTTTAAAGGTGGAAGGGATTTTTCGACTATCTGGTGCGGCGTCCGAGGTTGAGCAGCTATGGCAAACATTCGATGCTTCAACAGTATATCACGACAAACACGTTGATCTATCCAACTATGACATTCACGCAATTGCTGGCGCCATGAAAAAGTATCTTCGATGTCTTCCAGAACCTGCAATACCCATCACGTATCATCGTCGATTTATCCAGCAACTAGAGCAAGAACAGCACGCTGACCAGCAGATGATGAGTATCGTCGCCGACCTGGTGACCTCACTGCCCCGCGCCCACTTTCATTTAATCATGTTTATCATCGAACTCGCGTCACACATACAGCAGTATCAGCATATCAACATGATGAATCCAGAAGCCTTGGCCGTTGTATTGGCTCCTGTATGCACCGGGTTGGATCACCGCTTGAAGGATGTCCCGGCTTTTGCTGCAATTCATAATCACAATAAGAAAAAGCCATGTCCACCGCCAGCTGCGGCTGCTTTGGATCAACTAGTGCAAGCAAACGCGCAGTGGACACATATTTGGACATTGATGATTGAACATCATCAGTTTCTATTGGACAAGTGGCTTTCTAACAATACGTTGAGTAACACGACAACTACAATTGCGTCGATCAGAAAATCAAACGATCATACTCAAAGTCACTACAATAACCGCTATCAACACTATAATCAAAGTCTATACACGCCATCAACAATAGCAGCAACAACAGCAGCGAGTCAGCATAGTATCATGGTAGCCGTGCCACAACACAACCATCAGCGTGCCTCACCACGATCTCCTCTTGCTCCATCTCCCCAAACGCTCCCTATATCAACATGCCCGTCGCTATCAGCAGACCAGAAACAGTATCAACAGCAACAACAACAACAGCAACGAAAAAGACCAAAAAGCTATGGTGTTGTGGTTATGCGACGCGGCAAGTGTCCTTCCCCTCCTTTGAAAAAACCAACAGCAACATCCATCGACGATCTAGATCATTATTTGCTTGATTCCGCTCCGATCCTTTCTTCGATACTTCATATGACCAAAGAAAATTCCTGCGACCGACGCAGACGAACGCGCTCCATGTTTAGCCCAAAGATCCCACCTCTTGTATAACAATGCCACTGGTCACGGATACTTCTCCATCATATTCCTTTGCCAACTTTATCGTATCTACATGCCCTTTCTTCTATTTCTTTTTCGACCAAATATTGTATCAATAGTATTGTATTTCTATTTCCCCTTGTATGTATGCCCCTCACTGTTGTATTCCTTAAAATATATATTTAATTCTGTATGTTAGTCAAGATGCTACTGCTGCTACTCACAGTATAATAAAAGAGCGCACAATACATTATGTCCAAAACAACAGGCGCTAAGTATGTTTACATGCTTTTTGGCGTAAACTCTTAATGTTTTTAACGCCACAAAGCAATTTTTTGGGGGGTTTTTACTTTACAAAAATGTGCGAGTGAAACTTGAAAGGAGGCGAGAGTGAGTTCCTTTTTTCTTCATGATGACAGGCAAAGAAAAACAAATAAAACAACCTACACTAAAGAAAAACTTGGTACAAATGTATACATGTACTGTACAGCAATGTTATTTGGACACGTTAAACAATGTGAATGTATCAATGGTTATATCCACGTAAACAAACAGATATACATGAAATGTGACAAGAAATAGTGCGATAACGACAATTCTTCTCTTTGGCCAATTTTTGTCACGATGATACATATGATACATTATTCCAAAGAGACCGCAACCTTCATAAGATATCACCTAGCTTTGTAAACCATTTATCAATGGTTTGTTCTGCTTGATATTTTGTCATTATATACTATACGGATTAAGCTATATTTAGTGCCTGACGGTTAAATTAATCGCATGACGATGGAGAGCATGGGTTCAATGCATTTACAATAAACACATAATGATACTATAACTGTTGAGCTAGAAGTAGCAAACAAAACATCATAGCTGAAGCATCGCAGCTACAGCAACAACGGCCAAAGACCGAATGGTCTGGTATGTGTTTATGCATTTTCTCTCTATTTCTGTCCAAGAATAGCGGTGGCGAGCATGGTCCTTATACACTTGCTAGCCGGATTTCTTTATCCAGTGTACATAGAGCTATAATTACTATAATATGTAGCACATCTTACAAACATACACCTTTTCAAAACTTTGCCAATAAAGTGAGAGAAAGAAACGTGATTTATAATCTTACGCCACTGTGTCGCTTACCGAATAAAAGAAGGTATCATATAATAAGCAGGTATTCTTCATATTGTCTATTACAGTTAATTAAAGAGGCAGAGAAAGTTCCCTCTTCTACCAACTCTTTATGCACCCAAGTCGCTTAATACATCCCAGCGTTCTGTAGTATCCGAACAGAACATATCGAACATATGTGCAAGGTGTAATATCGTTGAATGCATTCAAAAAATTCGGATTTTCTGAATTTACGAAGTGCTTCTTGCCATGGTTCTTTTTCGAAGGCAAAAACTGTTAATATCTAATAAAAAGTTTTATGTAAGAAAATTAAAATTGAGAAGTTCATTTTATTTATTTGTATGTATAATGATGAAACTTTTTTCAGGTAAGAAATCTACATTTTCTAATTTTCTCAACAATGCTCAAGTGTATGTCGTGTCGTATTTTGAAATGTCAGAGCAGTAGTAAGTGAAATCTTACTATCACAAAAGTCATTAGCTACTCAGAGGAGATAAGAGGAAAGAATACACACAATACGGGTGTGTTCCTAAAAATTTATAAACTTGACAACGCACACTTTTAAAAGGCTCGCACACCGAGAAACTCCTTGACTTACAACTAAGACTTATTACCAAACAACTGTAGTAAGGATACATCCTTTTACATACTCTGGTGGAAAATTACATCCATCTTATGCGATTACTGCTTAAAGTATATGTTCTGTGCTATTCGATGAAAGACAAGCGAATAATATCATGTGCCCAGCGAAAGAAGTAGAGAAGGGGTAAAACGAAATTTATCGTCAAGGATAATACCGACAAGACTGGAACCAGTAATTGGATGTTGTGGAACAGAAATTGAGCCTTAACGGCCAATCTCTCAACCGATATATATACAACGAGTGTCTCAAAACTATTGAATGATTCACTCACGCAAAATCTCTGTTATGCTCTATGTTCCTCTATATATGTCAAGGAAGAAATTGCCGTGCTGTCGATGTGCAACCCAAGATATTGGCTTTTTATAAAATAAGACCAAGCAAGCAATAACAATCTGTTTGTAGTGCAGCCGTCAAGAATAACAGTATTGTTGTTGTATCTTTATAAGCATTACTGTAGATCATTTTGTATGTACAATCGTGTTTTTTCCACATGCGTAAATTTTTCTGGAGGTTTGATACTGCGCTCTGTCTAAAATTATGTCTCTATATACCGAAAGACAGAAAGAAGCATCATATAAGGCCGACACACATGTAATTAATTCTTTTCACAATGACTGGGATCTGGTCACATAATGACTACGAGCAATATTAGTGATTCTTTGACTATACACCATCTAGACGTGCTAGATGATCATCTGTAGCTGTTATTAGTAGCAATTCAGACACGAGCAGCAACTTGCATAATAATAGTGTCTTTTATCATGCCATAATAACAGTGATCGTAGTACAACCCAGAAAGGTCATTCAAACCCAGAACTATTGTTTTGTGTCTGTGCATGTCGTGCATACGTTTTCTTTGTTAGTGATCACCAACAATGGATTCTCGAAATCGTCCTCAAGATTCACCCTTACGAGAAGATTCCTTTGAAATGACTTCACCTACCTCGCAAATACCAACCGGTAGTCCTGGTGGTGGCGGTGGCAGCCTATCACGTCAACGCGAAAAATCCATTTCCGCAATCACACGCAACACTCACAACACCAGCGAATTGCACTCTATGTTAGGCGAACCGCCAGTGGAAGATTCGCCACTACATATGCCCTTTTCAACAGATGCATCCCCCTACAACTATGCTTCGCCGATGCGCATGCCTCGAGGGCTTTCACAGAATTTGCAAGAATATTATGACCGAGGAAACGGTACGCATGATGATCGATTGCGTAATTTAGCTCACTACGCCGCTCAACAAAACGTCACTGAAGCTGCGACATTCTTTGCCGAAAAAGTGTGTGCTATCTCAGGTAGAGTGTATTCATGATGAGATATAGGAAGGGCAACGTATATAGTACTAATAATAAGAGTTTACTGACAACATATATATGCTTGTGTGTGTGTGTTTCTTGTCAAAACAAAACAAAAATAGATGACTTCAACGACGTGTATTTCCTTGCTCAAGTATATTACGAGTCACAACAATATGAAAGAGCACTGGACCTGCTTAACAAAAAGAACACATTCTGCAAAAGCGTTCAATGTCGGTACCTGGCCGGATTATGTGCGGTAAGAGAGGGTGTGTTCCTGATGAGGAAAAATGGAGTTGAGCATTTTCAAAGAGAAAGCAATGATTGATAGCTTGACATCGTATGAACAGATTAAAACTGGAGAACTGACAAGATGCTTTGGATTATTTGGGACATGACAACCCATTCGCCGACGCAAATGCACATGCGCATATATGGTGGTATGTGATATACGAAAGAAGATCTGAATTTTGACGTGTCTAAAGAAGTGTGTGTACAGCATGCAGCCGCTAATGTTACCCTCCTTCTTCTCTGCTACTACTGTAGGAGTTCTGAACTTTTTTTTACACGGTTGGTTCGGCTTGGTGTTTGCACCTCACCCTTAAGCACAAACAACAGCTATAAATACGGTAGGAATGTGAGCATGAGCTGGAGAGAAGTAGTCGAGTGTCTTCTGTTGGGGGCGCTGATGCCATGACGTGTCAAAAGTAGCTGCATCTTTAGAACAGCCTGCTTATGATCTTTCCTACTTTATATTCCGCCTTATGCTGGTTGGGTCCATCGTGTCCGGTGGACAAGTAGCAGATAGTAAGTGTAAGCAAAAGGGGACTTGAACATTGCTAGGTGTAGAATGGCGTGGGTGCTGGAGATGACGTGTCAAGGTGTGCAGTGTGCACAGCAGCGTGACGAGACACGATTCGTGATCATGACGTGTGCAGTATGGCAGCCTCTCTTTTTCTTCTTTTCATGAAGATTGGTCGTTTCCTCTCTCTAACTCAAGGCTCTCTTCTTCCAGCTCAAGGATGCCGTAACAGTAAGTACCATATAGCTGGAAAGAATCTTGTGCTTGTGTTTGTTTTTACGTGTTTGATGAACCAGAAAGATGTCTGCCATGACATGTCAAAAAGTGTACCATGTTGTGTACGCAGCTGCTCATACATGTTTATTAGAGGCAGGCTCTGCGGTGATCTATTTGGATTAAATTGGTTTGGACCCCACCTCTCTCTGTCTATATCTCTTCTGTAAAACGACAAAACAAATGTAAGTCAGCTTGGGATGGAGGAGGATGGCCATGCTGTGTCAAAAATAAAGGTAGCACAGTGTGTGTAGCCCTCTAATGATCTGTTTTTTTCTCTTTTCCAGCTAGAAGAAGTGTTTTTTTGTCTTGGCTGCGTTTCTCCGTTCTGCTCCATGCTGGTCAAGATTGATGCTCTACTGCCATCCCTATCCATATCACTGCCGCTTCTAGAAGGCGGCCTGTCAACCAGTCCATCGGCTGTGGTCAAAATAAATCCATCCATATCGACGATTGCGTGTGCTTTTTGTTTTGATCTGGACCTGAGGAAACCGTTAAAAGCCTCATCTTCTTCCTTGCGTTCTTATATATATCTTTTCTTTCTCTGTGTGTTTTTATTTTGCTTTGTATATTTCATTCTTATTGCTTATCCCCTCCCCTTCCCTCTCTCGCTCTCTCCCGCTTGCGCATCCGTATCGCCTAGTAGCCGCTGTTCCGTATCCATTTTCGGATGTTGCATCGCCTCATGCGAACGGCATACTCCCCACCCCAGGCAGCCTTCGGGCGTAGGTACTTGCTTTCTCTCTCTCTCATCCTTCCTGTTTTTTTTCGATTTTTTCCATGTAAACTTGCTTTAAGTACAGGAATACATATAAGATAATTGCACAGTAGATATTTCTCAGACGCTACAAGATCTAATGCGTCTCAATTTATTTATCTTAAGATACCACATATTTATAAAGATGATACTATGAACATTTACAATGTACATTAGCTGCTATCGCTCCTTGGCAAATAGCTGCAAAGTACTTCCAGTGCTGAGTCTATATCGCTGGATGATGTAATAATGCTGCTATGAGCAACGTACATATCAGGTCTAACGATTACAATCGCTGCAGGAGTCTCTGGTTTATCCCACATGTGTGCGGTTAATCCAACACGTTTCGTGACAGAGTCGTGGACATCCCAGCGATCCTCCAACCAAAATGCATCTTCAACACTTTTCAAGTACTCTGCTTGGGGCTCTTCTTCAATGCCGACATAGTCTGGGATACGGCTGTCGCGTGAATGGTATGTTGATTCGATAACAATAGGCCGGGCAACTTTTGGGGAATAAGTCTTCTTGGCTTTGATCCAGAAATCACGAGTCCAAGGACAATAGGTTCGTCGTGACGGCCGTGTACCAATAAAGATTATTGCATGTTGATCCTGACAGCCATGTAATATATCACGCAAAGTTCTTCGCTCTAACCGACTCGAGTAATCGGTCAGAATGCGTTTCCGTAGTAGGGCGGTTTCATGCAAGTACTGGCCAGGCTCAATCAAACCAGCCTTTTTACTATTCGCGTTGACAAGAAGAAGTGGTGAATCTTTTGGAATTTGTAGCGTCAACTAAAAGATGGGCAAGGAGGTATTATTAGGTTGTTGTTCATTTTCTAGCTAAAATTCCGTACTGTTTTATATGACCCGTTTTTCCATATTACCTGCATCATTTGAGATACGATAAACGTTCTCATGCTCTCGAAAGACATCACAGCGGACATCACGTAGTATAGAACAAAGGCTATTCATACCATTAAAAACAGTGGTATATAGGAGTCATGGTTATCCGTTGTGCTTGTGATATAACATACACTATTGTTTTGTGCTTACCAAGCAACTTGCTGTTTCTAAAGCCGACACTGGTCATACCACCCGTTGATTTGAGTACCTGTTCCGCAATTGGCTCGCGCTTTACAAGAGAAGATATATATATGTTGAGACTTTTTATTTCTCTTCCACGTACGCAACTGTGCCAATTCCCTAAATAGCGTAAGAGGGATTCTTACCTCGGCGGAGTACGAATTGAGAAGTGCTTCTGGATTTGATGATAAGCCCTTGAGGACGAGCGATAGCTTCCATGCAAGATTATCCGCTATTTATGTTGGGAAATTATTCAGTTCACTTTGTCAAAACTGTTTTCTGCGCTTAACTATCTTTGAACGTAAAAAACTTACCATCCTGCAGACCAAGATTCATTCCTTGACCTCCAACTGGTGAATGACAGTGAGCGGCGTCTACAAATATCCACGCATTCATGCATAGTTTAATTTCGTTTGATCCCTTATTTATCTTTTTCATCCTTTTGCTATCGCCGTCCATGTGCGTATTTCCTATTACCTCCAATCAAAAATGCTCGATGACGACGATATCCATTTGCTTTGCGTTCATTGACGCGGAATAAAGAAATCCATACGGGGTGTGTGGGTATAATTTTGAGTGGTGCAATCCGTTCTGAGACTACTTTCTCGACTTCGCTAAGTGGAACGGTTGTATCCTGGACCAAACCATGGGTGATTCTCGCATTTTTATCCGCCAATTTGTAAGGCTCCAAGTTACACATTAACCGATAGTAGAAGGGGCCGTTGGGTACATTGGGCCCCAAAGGAATAATCGCAGCCGAGCCTACACTTGTCAAGAATTAACCATCTTTTCCTTTTTTCTAGCAAAAGTCTATCTTTTTCTACGTATCAATGTTTTTACCCTTGGGATGGCTAAATGCACTAACGCGCCCGTTCTTGAACCGCTCTGCATCCTGGCCCTCCAGCACAACATCCGCCATAGCAAAGCGAGTGGATACTGCGTATCCCTCATAGGTCCATCCTTCTGTACACTTGCGCACCGCTGAATGAGATCCATCGGCACCAATAATATATTTCGCTTTTACGACTTCTGTTGTTCCATCTGCTTTCTTGATAGTCGCCTCCACATAATCGGGTGTTTGAGTATAGCTCTGCAACTCCGTTTCTCGTTGGATCGTTAATGACTTTTGTTGTAACAGATCAGCAAAAACAGTTTCAGTTTTCGTTTGTGGTAAACAGGTCATCTGCGGAAACATGGTGTTCTCGCTAACTGCATCCAGGTAGCCAACCTATAAATCAGATAATCACTAAACTGTGAGTGATTTCGCTGTTAAACAACACTGTAAGGCTCCGACAGTTACCAAGTGCCCCTGGCTGAAAGCCTGTGAACCGTGCATCACTACCGCGTGCTTCAAGAAATGCTGTGCGATACCTCGGTTGTCAAGAGTTTCAAGTGTTCGGGACGTCATAAGAATAGCACGGCTTTGACCCGTGGGGCCGGCTGTTTTGTCTAGTATAAGGACGCTGTGGCCTAAACTCACCATCTTTTTGTGGCAACGGAAGAAGGGAGGGAGGAAAAAAGTTTAGAGTAGAGCGGATAACCCACGCAAATGAGGCATAATAGAAGCTACCTGGTAAGCAAAAAATGAGCCTACTGGCCCAGCGCCAGAAACGATAACCTCAAACATATTGTTCAAAAAAGTGGGATCAAGAAAATGTGTGTGAGCATCTTTTTCCTTTTATACTGGTTTGGTTTTCCCGATTTGTGTCCCCGAGTGAGTCAATGGTTTCCGAGGCGAGGGTCCGAGCTGAGCCATCTTTATCCGTTTCGCGATCCACATTTTCTATCTTCTTTTCTCACTTAAAGTCACAGTAAATCTTTTTTTCTGCAGACACAAACTAGCACTTTGATTAGCTAGGACGACAATAACAAAATGTCGTCTTGTAAATGGAACTTCAGGGAGGAAGGAGTCTTTTCATTATTCGACAAAGCCCGTTGGGATGTACGCTTCTCAAACGTTTTGATTCGTGCGGAGTAAATTTCAGTGCAATACACTACCGGGATCACCGAATTAGTTATCACCGGAACGGGTGCAGCATCGAACAATGGGCTTTTTCTCGGTGTTTTTCTTACTATTGTAGAAGGAGGGGAGAAACGGCAGTGTCACCATCCCTATCACTAACGAGAAACTCTCATGAACAAAATTCTATTGATCCTTATACTTTTACACACTCTAACCACATATATTCCATATTCAGTATCACCCATATAAATATTGACATTCAACGAAAAATAAAGAGACATCTTTCTTCCCACAATAGGATTGCAGAGGTCCTGCGTGTGAGCATTACCGTGTGTATACTGTATCTTTATTCAGTTCTTGAGGTAGTGGATCTATCGTGTCCCATATCCCTTTGATTGCTATCTGTATTCCTGTCTGCCTGTATTTTGTATCCTGGCTTGCATCTTAGTATAGTTGGGACGATTTCTATCTTTTCCTGAGGCACTGTTGTTGTACCCCCTATTACATTGGCAGTGTAGTTTCTGACGTTGGCAGAACTTTGAAAATCATGCTCAATACTAGCATAACAGATGGTTCCTCTTTTTACTTTTCATTGCAACTCAAAAAAAAAGGAACTACAGCATTTGACAGCGAGGCACAAGAGAATGCCTTATCCACCCTTGGAAAACTTGGCAGAGACTTGCCGAGTCGACGACTCGTGGTAGCAACGTATCATCCGTCAACAACAAATTGCGTTTGGCACCGGCTTTCAGCTTCGACCAAAATTCTTCGCTCGGGTTGAGGAAAGGAGAATACGGAGGAAGGTATAAAAAATCGTATCCTTGCTCCGCCACTGCGTCCTTCACTTCTGGTGTCTAGTGGATGGTAGCATTATCTATTACCAAAGTTCTTCCTCCTATGTTATTATCATATCCTTCAAAACTTCCATGAGTACCTCCATGAACGTGATATAGTGCTCTGCCCGTGTACCACCAATCTTTGTACTTGCCGAGGTATACAAAACCGAAGCCATCACTGGGCATCCTTGGCCACGCATGACTGAAAACAGTCAATCAAATACAAAGTTTTCAGCGTGCATGACATTGATTGTTCTGTAGCTCTTTTGAAGAGTGAACCCCCAGGCAATCACAAACAAACCCACTTCCACTTCACTTGATCGCCAAGCAGCGAGCTGTATCAATTCCGAAGCCGTCGATCCTCATCCTGTCAGCTATTGTTTTCTCCGCTCCTCGATCGCATACAACACTACTGAGTCCACAGAGCACATCTTCCTCTTCGAGTGTAGATGAATTGGACAATATATTTGATCCGCGCAACAGAAGAACTGACACATTGGAAGACTATGTCATTGAAGAGCTAGCGGAAACGTCAAACAGTAATGAAAACAACGCCGATAACAGTTTCGAAGAACCTAGCTTCCACCCTACCGCCTTTCCAATCCGTGATCCCAATGGATCTATCGCAGAATACGACGAAGGAGACTTCTCCCCCAAAGAAGATCCCAAATAAACCAAAGTGTTCTTGCATATAAATACGAAAAAAACAAATGGTAATAAGACGCCTCTTTAGCACGCAGTGATTATTTGAATGATAATAAACGAGAGAAAAGGTATTTTTGGCACGCAGTGGACTCTCAAGTGCTTTTTGTTGCATCAAATGCCCGATCCCATGGGTAGGGCTTATTGTCATAAAAAAAGTTCCCGAACATACGGTATAATTGCTGGGTCGTAATATGGATCCAGCGAGTATGCTGAGCAAAAATGGATGCGAAAAACTCGATAAAAAACCATAGTCGATCTCCATGGGCGATGCTCAACTGCCTAAATGCTATTTACTATAATCAAAGATAAAAGGGAGAGAGAGAGAAAGAGAGCAGTAATAGTGACCCAGTCTTTATTGAAGTTAGAAGCGTATCCGTGCTCTTTTGTTTATTCCTGCTTCTCATGATGCAAAGCTGGGCATTGATCTGCCTCAGGACCACTGGTTACGAGGTTATCCTCCTTGTCAAATTGCATTGGATGGCCTGTAAGAGTCTGATGGAGACCACTTGCCTTTTGGGCAAGCTGGTGCTTCTCTTGAGAGGCAGGGATCTAATCAAAGAAATAACATCGTCATTCATCAAAAAGTGTCCGACGTCTAGAAGAACTGTAGTAGGACTAGTGGACGCTCAGTATAATGGAATCAAATACGCTACATGTTCCAGCTTGTCGACGGCTTGTTCGAGTACAGCTTTGGGATCAACAGAAGAGTTCATGGTGATATGATGAAAGTGATAAAGAGCAGTGCGATTTCAAGAACGAAAGAAGAGAAAGAAACGTGGTTTGCATGGGTGTGTTACGACTGCATGATGATATCCCAAAATCGCAGAATATTTGTTTCAATTTTTTCGTGTTTATATCTTTTGTTTATATGTTCAAGGCCATTTGTACGTCGGTTGATGAAGGATCATCCATATTTACATCACGGACATTCGTTAAGGAGTTGTCCATTTTTAGAAACACTTCACTACCACTTTTCACTACCACAGGAGGAGACGTATACTTTTTCCGGTATTCGTCCAGTTGATCCAGGGTAATATCTGAGCCTCCAGTGACCAAGACTACCACATCGCTCGATGGAGTAAGTGACGGCATGATGTCCCGGATAATTTTTGTATAGCACAGTGATAAGCCTGTGCCGGAAGCAGGTTCGACAATCATCTTGCTGTCCTCTAATCATCCAACCATAATCAGTATTGCCAGTTGTCAAAACAGTTAATGGGAGTTTACCTGCAAACAATCGGACTGCGTCAGCTGCCATTGCATCGCTTACAGCAAAAGGCACGACTGGATGTGCCAAGCTGAGCTCGAGTGATTTTGAACTGACAGACTTGACAGCAAGACTGGAGGCGATCGTTGATGTTTTCGGTAACGATACAACCTTGCCTGCGACGACAGAAGATTGAAAAGAGTTGCTTCCGTGGGTTTCCACTGCAATCACTGGTACTTCTTTCCATTCGACTTCTTGAAGCCCCATAATGACTCCGTTTAGTAATCCACCGCCGCCAACGGGACAGATGATGGCTGCTGGAGGAGTATCGTGCAGTTGTGTTTTGATTTCGTGAACAATCGTTGAATAGCCTTGCCACATATGAGAGTGGTCTGATGACGGAACGTAGATGCTAAGTAGGGATTTACAAGTTGTCAGCACATAAACTGTTCGCTATACACCGCACTGAGTGATCAATTTGTATGCGTTAGTTGCAAGTGATAGCTACCCATTCCTCCGTACTAGTTTGCGCGCGTGTGCTTCCGATGCGCTCCAATCCTATACATTTAATACAGCCCATTAAAAACAAACATATGTCATGACATTCTCTCAGTGCCCTTTCACTTTCAATCAAGTGCTAAATGACACGTTACATCTCCATATAAAATTAATTGTGACCCGTCGTTCCGTATTGTGTCACATATCCGATCGTCAGTTGCTTTCGGCACAACAATAAGCGCCTCAGTTCCCAATTGCCGTGAGCAGTAAGAAACTGCGAGTACAGTATTCATACCAGAGCCACACACAAATTGAACATCTGTACCGCGTGTCTGTACAGTGCGGTAACAAAAGTTGCCAATGCCCCTGTTTGTCAAAAGAAACAGATCGATCAGAATCCAGATTCCCCTTTCCAACCCTCTTCACCCTGCTCTTATTCAATAGGCGTTGCTGCCACAGTAAAATGGTACCTCATCTTGACCGATCCCGAAGGTTGTATATTCTCCATTTTGTAAAACACGTTACTATATACACATACACAGAGGATTGTTAACAGATCAGAGATTCTTTTTATTCTGTTTCCGGAACAGGCAGAGGAAAGAAGTTTTAAATATTTACCAATTGAGTTTGACACTCAAATTGGGAGAGTGGAGTAAGGGTGTTCCGACGTGAAGCGATTGGAATTCATCGAAAGATTGGTTCTCATCGTCCGAAGAATCGTCCATATGCATATACTTGGGAATAAAGTTCAAAGGAGTGTTTTAAAAAAAATCACCATGACAGCTCTTCCTTTGTGGACCTTAGCTCCGAGTTGTTACTAAAAAGAGAAATGCGCAGTTTCATGCTATTCCAAGCTTCAGCAAGCATAAAGGACTTACTAGTCCAACTCGTATTCTGATTTAATCACCAGGTGTTACAAGAGAAAATAAGCACAGGACGAGCATTGGGAATACAAGTATTCATTCAGCTCTTGCTTGTATACGTTGACAGTGAATCATCCACCAAACAGCCAGCAAGCACAAGAATATACGAGGACCCTATGAGATATATCATATGAAGAAAGGCGTTAACATATACCTTACATAATACAGCAACGAAGATACCTATCTGTTAGAAATAAACAGTGGAAGTCGATGATAGCGAATCTGTTTTTTCTACTGAAACGTATAGTGAGAAGCCTTGTAATCTCTGAAAATTAGTATGTAACTGACAACAAAAATAAGCCCGACGTGTCTCGCAAGAAAAAAGTAGAAAAGCGCGACCTTGAAACTTATTCTCGCGTTGACGTGTTTCCTCTTGTCCTTGAAAATGACTAGAAACACTTTTCAAGAATTATTACAAGAAGCTGGATGCGTCATTGACGAGTACAACAATCGACCCATAGTTTTCAGTACGTTTAAACTACATTCATCTTTAAAGCATAGCATTACCTACATCAAGTTTCTCGTTTACGAATCCAGCCTTTAACAGTCTTGTAACTTTCCTTTCAAGTTTCTGAGCCTGTGCTATTTCGCAGAGAACTCTCATTAAAGATTAGGAGCGATCCCCAATACCCAGACAATCTCGATGAGTTCTTTGACAGTATGAACGCTTACTTACAAGACGTAGACGTGCTTCGAAGGTTTCTTTTACCAGCTACGCTTTCCGATCATTTGATGGATAACAGGCGGTAAGAATACACGCGTCGATTCTCTCTTCCTCTCTTGATAGGCTGATAAATATGTGTATGAATTTATATTATCTATTGATAAATGGTCAGGACAAGCATCTTGGAGAGCGCTATTAAGACATTACTCAATATCGATATCATCCAGCCAACGTTGATCACTTATTTGCTCGAGCGACTACCCGAATTTTACGATGAACTGGAAAATGAGTATGGATGATGAGTTTTAGTATAACAGCTTCAACGACCCAGCATTGACCTTCTGTACTTTTAGTAACTCGAGCTCATGCACCGCTCGATTAATCCTTCATCAATTACGATGGTCGGAGTACATTGTAGCACCACAGGCACTAACTGGAAAGTTGATCGAGGTACGTGTGAGAACGCTTGAAAGTATAAGTCAGTCAGTCGAGCAAGAGGAAGTCAAGGAAGAGAGGTATTCGTATGCTCACCAATGATTGCTGTTTCTGTAAAAGATTATACAAATTACGCCTACCGTAATTCAACACGAAATCATTACATCCCTTCCTGATATCATCAACGACTCCGAACATAAGGTAAGGGACAGAAGGATTAAGGGTTTCAAAATATAGTGGAGAGAGACTGCTTATAATTAAAAAAGGTTGAAGAATGTCTGACAACAACTTTTCCGGTGGATGATTATAAAGCCCATTGTAGTGTATTTAAAAGAGTTGATGCACGAAGATGCCGAGCTGACAGTACCAATATTGGATGCGCTTTCGAATCTTACACTTCACTCTGAAAGTCTGGTAAGCAATCTGCGTAAAAATCGATGCTTCTTTGCATATCATATAGCTTAATCTATATCGGATCTTACAGGAGGATGTGCGAGACACAGTGTTGGATCGTCTGGAATCAGCAGAATTGGATGATTTGGCTGTGATTATCAAATTTTTGCTACAAACGGTCAAGCCACATACGATTGATTTGGTATGTCTCCTACTTTCATTTTTCGGGGTGGCTGAAAAAATGTCCACCGTTTTTTATGTATTAGACTCACACCAGAGCATATAAATAGGTTATTCTTGGCATTCGCGAAAAATTGGACTTTCGTTCTCTTGGAAAATCCACTATACCAAGCATTACACGCAAAGCCAAACATTCACCAGAAGCACTTATCCTCGGTAAGATTATAAGTTGATCTAGCACACCTGTATTTTGAGTGGATGTTTATCTTCATGACTGTTTTGATATAGAATCGATCAAGTTGGGATTACAATTTCATAAATTTGTGTGTGACTCATGGATCAAGTCAATTGCTGCCTTACAAACCAAGGTAAAGAAAAGTAATTATTGTGGGATTCAATATATGCAGTAGAAATCACGATCGTGTTAACGTTTTCTATCTGATTACTATATACAGCCCGCTCACAAGATCATTGATGTATTGGTCTTATTTATCTTGTACTCAATGACATCAACAAAGAAAAAAGCCGACCAAATATTCCGCAAGAAGATTGCGGATGGCCTTATTACATCCTCATTATTAGAAGAGTCAATAATGCATCATGGGCATGGTCTGGCCAGGTAAAAGACAGTTGCTGTATAGGATACAGTTAAGTACTCAATGCATACTAAACTGAATCGCCGTTCCTTTAGTTATTGGAATACAATCCTTTCACTGTCAGAAAGCTTGTTACGGTCATCACAGCAACAGAGTGTGCTCATTCCATCTTCCAAAGCTCTTTATATAAGTGCGTTCAAATCAAGTGATGTTTATTATCGACAGGTAAAACTTGGTGTATAATGTCTGAAGGAAGTATACTCGACTAACAAGATACGAGAATGAATAACACTTTTTGGGTATGTAGGAAATCATTGGCTCTCTAGTGACACATATTGGAAGTGGCTCTATATCCTTTTTATGTACCATCCGATAAGGACTGAATGATTGCCTCATGTCCAAACAATTATTGTTACGTATATCTCCTTAACTACTAATGGACTTTTTTTCTTTTGCTCAATCTACGCTACAGAAATGGATGTTGCCTTAGACACCCTTCTCCATCTAGCCAGAACGGACGTCGATAACATGGCAGTATACGATGTCTTTATTAAGGGTATCCTTGATTATTTGGACAACCTGACACTACCACAAATCCGAACACTTTTCAACATTTTCAGCCTCTTGTCTGTCATGCCGAAGGCTCGAAAGGAAGGAGACTCTGGTCTTTGGTCCGAAATATGTATCGTCATTCGCAAGCAACTATCCAATCCTCGAGAGAAATACAAAAAAATTGGTGTCATTGCTAGCTTGGCAGCTGTCAATGTTCTGACCTCTGCCAAACTATGTGCTTCTGAAGATGAATCAGGAGCTGGTTCAAGTAGTACACAACGTATGTATTATAGCAATACACTATGATCCATGCTCACTTTTGCTTATTCTGTCTTCTTGTTTATCTAGGTGAGATGACATCCGATGATGCGCACCGCCATCCACTTATTCGACAAGCCATTCAAATGGTCGAAATGGCTCTACAACATTGTCATGAATATCCTGTAAGGACACCCTGACTTTAGAAGTATGTTTTACATTTCCCACCAGTACTAAACTTTGAGTTATAGGTTTGTCTGGCAATGGTTTACGATGAGTTGGCATACATGCTTGAACATGGTGATATGGACAAGCGCATGCAGCTGTATATTGCAGAAAGCATAACTGGCGATTTTATCGAGCAATATGTTGCAGATGCGGGTGCTGTCGAGGAGCGTATCACAAGAGATGCAAATCGTCTAGAGGTTCCTGTGAAACCTCAAAACTGGATGAATCTTGACGGTCAAGTATGTTTGTAGAATACTTTTACTACGCGTATTAAGGAGCACACAACTTATCTGCACCTTTCCACTTTGTTTCAACCATTAATATAGGATGCTGCTATAGCAATCGATTTCTACTCGTTCATCTGCGACAATGACGAACGCAAAAAGAAAAGATCTGTTCTAACTCTGTGTGCGCTTTTCAACTTACTTCAAAGCAGTGAAAAGCTAGGCAACAATGGAAGTCTAGACGGTATCGATGCTCTAGTGGGTTGTGGTCTGGTATTATTCAATCATACAGATTTTGACGACGACATGGTTAAAGAGCTAAAAACCCATGATCTGTGGAATGCGTGTGATATTATATACTATGCAATCAACTGGTAAGTTATCTTTCCATAAAATTTCATAGTAACGGAACACAGATCATTAACGATATACCTTTATGTCAACAACATGGTGCACTATGCTTCTAGGTGTCGCGAGCTGTTGAATGTATTTTCCGTTGTGTGTGACCAATCGATCCATCAAAAAACGGTTCAGCGTGTCAAGAACGTTCTTATGCTCGAGTCAGCATTGTGCAAATTTATCAAGCAAGCATCAGGCTATGCTCCTATGGAATTTTATGCTTCGCTGCCGATGGCTGGTCTCAAGAACTCCACCTCGCGCACCCTTACTATAAGCTCGGTAAGAAGAAGAGCATCATCTATAGCCGTGTACATTTGTCTCGACTACGGACTATATTTTGATTACGTGTCTTAAATGTCTTCTAGGCTGTGAGTGTACGCGATTCCCCTGGAGTCGACGACACCTCTGATACCGAACCGAAACCTGCTAGAAAGGACAAGACCAATACAAATGTCGCATTCAACTCTATTGATGCACTGAGACCCCATATGCGTGCTTTGAACGTAAGTGCTCCATCTTTTTCTCCTCACCTTTTTTCCTTCTAACAGAATCTTTGTACCAAAACCTGCTGATAATCCACTAGATCAATGTTTTGAGCGTTCTAGCTGCGAGTGAAAACCTTCCTCACAATGAAGACAAATTAGACGTACGTACAACATATATTCTAACTTAGCAAGCTTTGTTGGGAAAATTAACATCGTCAACAATTTTTCTCTATCGTTAGAACCGGGAACTCAGCTACATTTTCAAAGATCTAAACGAAAAACTCAAGAATAAGATCGTCCCTGCACCTGTATCCGCGTTTGGAAGGAAAAAACAAGTAGACCAGAACCTGCATAGCACTGCAATGCTTTCTCGGATAAGTGCCCCTGATCTTGTGAAACAGGTATTTGACAATTACAAAGCCTCAATTTTTTTTACACATTTGGATCCACTTGTTGACATGATTTTGCAAATGAAAAAATATGCATAGGTCATTAAGTATTTGCCAAGTATTCTCCAGCGACTGGAAGGGTTATACGAAGATATACAATTACATGTAAATTTGTTTTATATAGAACAGCGTTTTTTTGGTTAGATGGACTGTATTAACAATTTTGTTACTTTCTCTATCTGTAGGATACACAAGCTGGACGAATTGGATCTGTATGTCAAGAATTTCCCTATCCCAAACAGCAAATTTGTAAATTGTTATCAATAATTATTTGCTTACTGTATTTGTAGAGCTCCCAGACAATTGTTCAATGTACTTCTCTTATTATGAACATTATCTTTAAGCTCGTTTCTTGGCCTGAAATAGAAAATCCTGAACACCGTGATATCCTCGAGGTAAGTTCTCATAAATTTATGCAAGCAATCAAGAATATTAAAAGATCCTGGATACTCTAATTAATACCACATCATCTCAATTACATCCTTTGAACTACAATTCAGGACCTCGTTAAAACACTAGCATCACGTATTGTTGCCGATGAATCACAACACGATACTTTTGAAGTCACTGTTCGTGAAGTCTTCAAATATTTGGCACATTTTAGCAACAATATTCCTGATGCCACCACAGCAATCGTCCTCTACAAGACTCTGATGCGTGTGATGGTACTCTCTGATAACGATCCTGCCCTCAAAGTCGGTGCTCACCAAGTTGTCACACGCATTTTGGCAACCGACTGGTTCGATTGGCGAGATATCAAGGTAAGCTATATAAAAAAGAGGAAGTTGGTAGGAGAAAAATTGTAAGACGGCAGTCTTCCACGTTTTGTTTATCCGCCGAGGAGACTCACAACTTCGTTCTCGTCGACAACAGAAACAAATTATATTTTTGGTTGGGCAAGCTATTGAGCTTGACAAGGATCCGTTACAAGCTTTGCATACATATGTAAACCAAGTTCTCCCGCAGTATAACGAAGAGGGACGATTAGAAGACCATCCACTTCTACGAGATGACACCGTCATATACTACTACGAGGTACATAATTTTTTGTTTTGTTACACCTTTGCGCGAGAACTTTGAGAGAATTAATGCGTGCTTGCAAAAAAATCAGACTAACAATGAAAACCATCATTAGGCAATGATAAACCAAGCTGTCAAGGCGTTGCACTTGCTACAAGAAACGGACGACAATGATAACGAGAACGATAATGTCCTAGACAAGACTGAAAAGCTGGTTAGAATCTTTGCAAGCATTACTACGTATATCAAGAAGAAAGATAAAAAGGAGCTGTTTAGCGTCCTGTTGAAAACTGGCCGTGCGTTTATCGAACAATTCACAATGCACTCAATACCTTACTTTACGGGCGTTTTCAAGTACCACAAGGAACGGATCGTCGTGATTTTGAAGAATTTCCAATCGTGCACCCGTATGCTACAGGTACCCGTAGAATTTTTGCTGCTCTTGGAAGAGGAAAATATAGCAAGTTGAATCTTTTGATATACTAACGGCGACGGTGAAATTATGATAGATTATCTGTTCACACGTCAAGGTTATGAAGGACATCAAGCTATCTTCCTATGTCCCCAAGTTAAAGCAGGCGATGGAAACGGTTATTTTCCAGGTTAAAATACTGCTAACAGAAAATAATGCTCCTGCTGATGCATTCTTCCTTGGTAAGCCATAGTTCAATTCCAGTGATATACGGTTGGTCGAAGTGCATAGAGATTTTCCTCTTCGTTAATTTTCCAACGTTTTTTGATGGTTAGGTGCGCTAAAACATCGAGACATCCGAGGTGCTGAAGTCTCATCTCAAATGCCCCGTGATCTCTCCTCTTCAGAATCTGAGGCAGAAGAGAACGAAGAGAACCTCGAGGTGGCCGTGGCAGCTCGATCCCAAGCCAAGCGAAAGAGAAAACAGTCAACAAAACCAACGGCACGCAAGAGTAGAGCGAAGGCTACCGAGGACGAGGACAGAACGATCAGGACAACAAGTCAAGTTCCAACTACAGATGATGAAGGAGATGATGAACTTGCGGGAGATGACGATGAAGGAGAAGATACCATGGATATTGATCTCAACAGTACCGATGAAGAAGAGCAACAGTCTGCGTCTGCTCGTGATCGAGGGCCTCACCTTATGTCGTTGTCGCCACCACCCATCCATGGGGTCGCCGACGTTCATGTTGAAGCTAATGAGGAGATGGAGGAAGAAGTAGAAGAAATCGTTGTGTTGTCGCCGTCTCCACCACCTTCTACCAATCCAAGAGGTATTGCTACGCGATCACCATCACCGCTGCCTCCACCACCACCACCACCACCACCACAAGAATTAACGGGTCCTCGAAAGAAACGTTTAGGATTGGGACGCCCTAATATCTCAAAGGAATCAAAAGTGTTCAATTTATCAAAGAAATCGGACTAAATGTCAAAAATAAACTGCCGCTTCGTCCAAGAACCCTTCATATTCTATTCTCTTTTTACACTTTGAAGATGCAAAACTCCGTAGCGTCAGTCGAACAAATCGAGTTGACACCATCTCGGAAAGATGGCATTCCAGAAGAGTTGGAAGAATCACTACGAAATTTTGGTTGCGAATTTATACAAAGTGCCGGCATCTTGCTCAAACTGTACGTAATATATACCGAGGGCGATTTACGTGTTACGCACGTGTGCAGTACTGGATCTGATCTGTCCACTCGAATCTCACCCGTCTCATCCTTTTGTATGTTTCATTATTAGCCCACAGGTAGCCATGGCAACCGCACAAGTTTTGTTTCAACGATTTTATTACATGGCTAGTTTAAAAGATTTTGGTATAGTGGTAAGTTGTGTGGCGATCGTTTTTCTTATATGCTGAGGGGACAAAGAAAAAGAGCTAACATGACAAGGCCAGGAAATTGGTATGGGAGCATTATTTCTCGCTTCAAAAGTAGAAGAATCATTTACCCGGCTTACGTATATGGTGTCCGTATATGATTGCTTGTTAAAACGCGCTCGGAAACAGCCTACATATCCTCCACTGGATGCATTTTCGCAGGTTAGTGTTCTTCTTTTTCGCGAAACGGGAAAGGGGGTTGGAGTGGGAAATCCGCAGAGGCGTAACAAAAGGGGTTGCATATAGCGACGCTTTACGCAAGATGCACTTGGTCTGATATGTCTGCTATCTGCCTTTATAGCAAGCTTACGATTTAAAAAACATGATTATCACCGGTGAAATGCAAATATTGAAGCGCTTAGGGTTCAATGTCCATGTTGAGCTTCCATACGGATTAATGATCAACTATTTGCGTATTCTTGGTTTGGAAGAAGATGAAAAAGTCGCTGGAAAAGCCTGGAACTACCTCAATGATGGGTAAATTCCACTCTCTTGCTGCGTATATGCGCATCCTTCCTCCTTTATCTCTACCCCTTTTTCCTCTTTATCTCATTTTTCTAACAACAGGAAAACACCATACAAAACCTGTTAGATTACGCTCAAATGTGTACGCAACATACGAACCAGCAACAATTGCATGTGCGGCTATATGGCTTGCATGCCGTGATCATACTATCAAACTACCTCCAGATTGGTATCTTTTATTTGATACCGAATACGACAACGTCACCAACGCAGCAGGACAAGTACGGCGAGTTTATTATACAAAAATTGATCGAGAACGACTGCCACTCTATGCCGACGAAATGGACGCTTGGCTGGCCAGAAACTGTCTATAGTAAAGACAATAGTATTTGAGAGCATTATCTTCATCAATATCATCATTTTCAAATTTGCAACTAACATGGTAACTAGTAGTATATTGTATATGGACATTTTGTATGTAAATATAAATTAAGCTTTTTTAGCTATAAGAAAAAAAATGGAATTCATTATATAAGATTATTACAACAATTTAAAAAACTCATTTAGGTGTAGTGAAGTTTGGCTGACTGGGTGATGTCTTGATATTACTATTATCAAGCTGTGCTTGATAAGTCCGTATTGTGGACCTAGAGGGACGCGGCACTAGCGGCGGAGATGATTGTTGTTGCTGTAGCTGTTGGTGATGGTGAGCATTAAATGCCGGCATCGCAGGTGTTGCTGCAGGAGGAAAGGGAGGTGGTGGTGGTGGTAGAGACTGGTTTGTTGCTGCTATAAGATGACTCGGGTCCACACTAAAACTTGGACTATAGGCAAGTTGCGGGGTGTATTGAATGGACTTAGTGATGGTAGGTGACGGAGGTTCCAAAAAGTCCTGCTTCTTCATCATATCCTCGTCATATGGAGGCGGGAGTGTTGACGGGCAACGAGATGAGACAGTATCTGTAGTGCTGTACCAGCTATGCCGTATGCCCCATCCGCGCTTGCCTTGATCTTGCTCTTGCGACGGTCTAGCTCTCCGTTTCCTTCGCCTGTTGTTGGTAAATATAATGATTACAATAATTAAAACACTGATGCCTCCCAGCACGCCGAGCATCGATCCCATGAGTGAATCTTTGATCTTGCTGCTGTTAGCACTCGCAACAACTATACTGGGTGAAGAATGAGCAGTATCGGCTGCTACCGCGGCAGTGGAGTCCAGGGTTTTTGCTGCTACGGGTGATGGTGACGATGGGGATAAAGAAGAGCTTGGATTGGCGGCAATGGCAGCAGCTGCAATAACAGCTGCATTATGTGTTGCTGGTGGTAACGACATTGAAGAAGGGCTCGATGCTTTGGGCGTAGTAGTAATCGTCGTTTTTGTTGATGGTTTTGGATCGTGCTGTTGCATTTGTCGTGTATTTTTGGACGCACTTCTGCTGGTGGTGTCGTCATTATGATGATTATGATGGTGATTGTGATGATGATTTTGGTATCCTTTTGTTGAAGATCCCTTTTTCTTTCTTTTTGTTCCTTTCGTAGTACTAACTCTGCTACTAGTCGATGTCGACGAAGGATTCGTTGTTGTTGGAGTGACAGGCATGTTTAGTAATCCTGCTGCTAACAAACAAAAGGGAAACAGGATCAAAACATTCAATCGGACGGATTGACTGCAGTATATATAGTAGCACTAATGATGAGCCTAGTCCGGTTCTCAAACGTAGGTAACAGCTGTGCTGAGAATCTAAGCGACTCCTTGAGGGGTTAGTCGTACTATGTCCTTTTATCTTCCTACGTGAGGAGCAGCTTTTAGAGATTCACCACACCGACCAACTCCTTAATTATGCCTGTCATGGATTGCGGAACTTGTCCGTTATGCATAGATCTTGTTATCTCAAATCTCTAAGTTACGTTTCCGTTGTGTCAATAATTTTTTATCGACTATATTTTTTGGATTCTGTGTTCATTAATAGTTATTTTTTAAACGATAAGAGAATCAATTTTCTATAGTGAGGATATACAGACCAGTGCAAAAATTTACATCATTGCTTACTGGTTTGAAAAAAAAGCATATATAGTATTTATGTAAAGCTTATTACTCTATAGTGTTATCAAAAGGCTAATGGAGGGCAGCAGAGGGTTTTTGTGGGAATAGAGTAGTCGGGCTATAAGAAGGTGATTTGCAACATGCATACAGCTGCCATCATGTATTATACACTAACGACGATCTGCTAATATACAGATTATTGTACACATGAGAAGCAGCATATCCATCCGTCTGTGCAGTAAATATTTTTATCGTAGTAAAAATAATCTGCAAAGCTTCTTTCTTTTTGCTAATAAACGTACGGCATATTCTTTCGTAATAAAGATGCAGCGCCGACACTTTAGCACTACCGCATATACTGGGACTCTATTTTTACTATACGAAAAAAGCACCTTCCATCTGCTGCTGCATGAAAAAGGATTCGATGGCTTGGACGACTGGTCCGATGAGTTTTGTCGCTGTACGTATAAGGAAAAGCTACACAACCAATAACGATGCGAGCTCTTAGTTACCTCGCAGGATGATCCCACAACAGTTCTATTTTCTTTCGAAAACCGTGAAGGGCGGCTTCAAAATAGGTCATGGAAGATGAGCGTGCCTCTAAAATCAGGTTAAAACTTTCTCTGCTATATCAATACTAAGTGAATGTATATAGCAATTATAGACTTTTATATAATGTGTACATACCCAGGAACAATATACATCCGTCGACTCTAGCAGATGCTCAAATAGATAATAATGGCATCCCTTTTTGGCTAAGTACTAGGCGAAAGCTGAATAGTTAAAGCAGTCGTTGCGTGGCAAACAGCTAACTTCTGATAATAACAATTTATTAAAAAAAAAACTACACAGTAGCATCTAGTATGTAAGCAGTAAATGCATAGCAGTAATCATGCGAATTAAAGAAATGTGTTATCAGACATTTCAGGCAACATTTTTTCATTTAACGATTTCTCTGTCAGGTGTGTGTTTCAGAAGAAAATGAACTATTTCCCGGTTCTTACAGACTGCTACATACGCGTTTCTGTCTCTTTCTATTCTCAAACTCCTCCACTCTTCTAATAATTAAAGTTTCCAGCAGTGCCTCGCACATGTCGAACACTGACTACTGTTCCGAAATGGGTTTGTCACCTCCCACAAGTGTTGACAATAGTGCTGATCAGTGTATTGTTGATAACGACGAAAACTACTACAACGACGCGTTTTTCAATGATTTAGACGTTGCCACCAATGATCTAAATCGCGACTTGATTACCGATCAACACGACGCGTTTTACTCTCTTCCCGCTGCGACATTGGAAGACGATGCTGGTTTCGCGTTAATGAGCCACTTGCTATTGATTACTTCTAGTATGACCGCCGCTATCGGTGCTCCTACTGGTTCAGGTCAGCATAACCTGTTAAACTCGGTACCAACAACAACAATAGCACCGACGGCGATATCTTCATCATCACCATCGATATTTTCAATAACACCCACATCTACACCACCAGTATCAGTAATACATGAACAAAACGACAGTAATACAGCTGAAAACCCGGTTCTATCATACTCAGTACCATTTATTGCTCCAGAAGATATCCTACGACAGCGACAACATACTCTACACCGGGAAGGTCAGCTACCGCCCCCAGCAACAGTGATTGCTACATTATCGTCACCTATCGTTCCTACAACAACAAGCTTGCCTTTGGCAAAAAATGAACAAGAAGTGCAGGCTGCAAGAAAAATTGCTATCAAGCCCGAAACTAGTAGAAGTCAAAAAGTAGTACCAATATTAGAAAGAGGAGGAACAGTGGAAAGAACAAAGGAGATGAGAGAACACGAAAGGAAAACACAGACGCAACAATCAAAACAAGTAGCAGCGGCGAAGAAAAATGATGTGGACAAGGAAGAACGACGACAGAAACGACTCTTGCGGAATCGACTGGCTGCAAAAGAGTGTCGAGAAAAGAAAAGGCAGCATCAAGAATCTTTAGAGAAGCGAGTAGTGCAATTGGAAGAAGAAAACGAACGGTTACGGGAATCTGTCGACAGACTAAAAGATAGACTCACACTTTGCCTGCAAAACCCGAATGACTTCTATCACCATTCCCGTTATTCCCTAGCCGCAACATAGTTTCAAAGCAGTGTTATATATACCTTTTCAATCCTACTCTCAATACTATCACCATCCGCTAGCATATGCCAACACATTATCAACCATCCACATCTTCAAAACTAACGTCTATGATATGTAGAATTATGGCATGTAATATAAATGCTAAATACACTGCAATAAGAACGTTATCCAGCGCAACTATTTACGTTGATCGGCAACTCCAGCACAACTAAGCTTTTGCGGCTGTGATAACAAGGCAGGCATGTTCACGGTCGCCTCGTTTTTTACTTTAAAACTGAAGGATTTTTATAAATAGAAGATATATGCATTCACTTCTTTTGATTACAAGTATAGTCCCAACGTTATAACCTTGACTGAATTTGCGTTGAATTTGTGTTGAATTTGTTTAACGTGGCTTTGGCATGGTACATGGCGCCGAGCTTGGACATAGACCGAACATTCATCCCGATGGGTTTACCTCAGCTACGCTGCTGGAATCTGGCTTTCTTCTACGTACATGATAATGTCGACGGACGACAGGCACGACGTACAAACAGCTCAAACCCCCTTGGTGAATTGCTTGATTATGGCTGCAACGCTCTAATACGATTTTTTCGTCAGTAGTTCAAGCAAGTGCGCTTGGATCCGGACATTCTCATGCAACAGTGCTGCTATGTTTGATTGAGGCTTTTGGGTTCTAAAATGTCCACTCAGTAAGAGCATCATACTGGTGTATTGTACTTGGACTATGTAGATGCACCAACTGAAGAGATTGTCCTTGCACTTGTAGTTTTCACGATTTCCGGTGTATTTGGCAAGTATATCTTCTTACAATTATCAACATAAGCGTGCAAATAAGCGAGATTTTCTATATACATGTACGATGTATCTTATAAAAGATATATGTACATATTTTCATTGCATGATTACAAGATGCATCATAGCAAATACAAGCGCTACTCACAGTTCCGAACTTATTATGTACAATGTATTTTACACCCGAGCTGTTTGCCCCTCAATTCGAGTTGACACTTGTATACTGCTCTTTAGTATTTGCAACCATTGTTTACTTGCGATGGGCTGTTGCTGTCATTGAAGCGTTCTGCTCATACCTGGGCATCTAATGCTTTACAATTACAGCAAAGAAGCCACAGTCCAAGACAAATTGAATTATCTATATATACTATACATCTCCCTTCCCCCCCCCGTTTTCCCCATGAAACGGATATTTACAAAGGTGCTATCACTTATAATTGCTCCCTTAAATTTGTATTTTATCAGCATGTACATGTGTGGATTACGATTGTAAACATTTGTTTTTATATGCAAGGACACTTTGGTTTATTTGGGATCTTCTTTGGGTGAGAAGTCTCCTTCGTCGTATTCTGCGATAGATCCACTGCCAGGATCACGGATTGGAAAGGCGGTAGAGTGGAAGCTAGGTTTTTCGAAACTGTTATCGGCGTTGTTTTCATTACTGTTTGACGTTTCCGCTAGCTCTTCATTGATATAGTCTTCCAATGTGTCAGTTCTTCTGTTGCGCGGATCAAATATATTGTCCAATTCATCTACACTCAAAGAGGAAGATGTGCTCTGTGGACTCAGTAGTGTTGTATGCGATCGAATAGCGGTGAAAACAATATCTGACAGGATGAGGATCGACGGCTTCTGAATCGATACCGAAACGCCAAAAAGAAAAGGTTGGGGATGGGAGCTCTCAAAAGAGGGGAAATCGTAGCCCTACTACTCAAAATTCCGTTTCACGCAAGAGAACTGTTTGTTTATTGTATGCTAAGAAGAATTCATATGGGGAGGACTTTTTTTGCCTCACGACAGCAGTGCCTTTTCAATCAGTTCTTCAATATATGTTGCCGACTTGGGATTGTTTCGTAAAGCCTGAAAGTATTCACACTATGATTAGATATCGTAATAGGTCAAGTAATGATGGCTGCCGGATATTTTTGTGTTCATCAATTCATCTTACAATACCTTGTGGAATTGGTAAAATGCATTTGGTCCTTTCTGCCTTGATCAAGGTAAATTTGTCCCATTCCGACGCGCACGTCGGAGTTTTGTGGTTTTCGTTGAGTGCCAACTGGAAACACTCCAACGCACGGTCGTACTTCCTAAAGTCAAAGAAAAAAGCTAATTAGTCTATCAAGATAATAGTAGCTCAGGTAATTTACTTTATTGCATGTTTTGCAAATTACCGCATCCGTCTGTATACATGGCCAAAATTAGCCCACAGTTTCTCCCAAAGGTTGCTGAGAGGACTCTGTCGGTCTTTAGCCAATTTTAATGCATCTCGTAGGTGATCAAGTGCTTGTGGATACCTAAGTTTTATTTTTCAGATAGAGCCGGAACACACACACACACACACACAGATATGTACATATACAATAACAACATGAAGGGACTTGTAAGCTTACTCTTTCTTTTGATAATGGTATACTGCCATTTCGTTCAATAGGAAAGGATCGCTGTTGCATTTACTGTAGCTTTTATTTAGATACACAAAAGCAGCATCCAGCATGTTTTGCTCCAAGAATTGTACGCCAATGTACATGTCAGGAAGGTGTGATCTAATATTCGTTTTTTTATCTTGTGAGCAGCACGTACATTACAAGATACACATTTCTAACGCGGATAATAAGATTGTTCGCTTGTTTACCCTGGTACTAATTTGCTGCACATTGCATATGCACTTATCGCTTGGTCGTGATCTTTTTCAGCAGCAAATGCATGCCCGTAACCAAGCCAAGAGTCTTCAAAGTACTGATCGATATCCGTTGCTCGACTAAATAAAATATCGTTTAGAAAATCAATGTCGTATGAGCACTCGTATTGAGGGAAATGGAGTACAGAGGACAGCTATACTTAAAATAGCGACGTGCTTCTGAATATTTTTCAATGTAAAGATTATACATCCCCACGGCATGCCACGTCACTGCCTCGTCGTTTAGCCTATCCACCAATTCTTGGGCCAAGATATACAGCTCGTCTTTCATCTTTAGCTCGTATAAGCACGTAATGTATAATGGAATCGATTTTGTATAGAAAGCATCTTCTTTCCGTATTCTAGATTTAACGAATGAATCATTATTATAAGTGAGTAGATCCAGGAAAAAAATTGTCAACAACTAATTCAGCAGACTTGGCACGTACTCTTGGCATACACTTAGGCATTCTTCGTATTTGCATTCTGCCAGTAATGTCCGTGCTATACTATGCATAACATTGAGACTCTTTTTCAAACCGAAATCGTTCTCTGCTTCCTTTTGCGCTTGTTGGATATCCTCCTTGTGCGAATACTGATGGTATAAACGGCGAGCAATTAGTTTTAGGACGAAATCTACCTAAACAATTATTCATAAGGGGTTGTTGCTTCTTACTCTTTTTAGCTGGATCATATAACGTGATCGAAAAAAATCCGCATCAGATAGACCACAGTGTTCTTCGTAGGGTAAGGTGGATATAAAGTCCCATTCTAGAAAAACATGTACTGTTAGTTTTGAACCATGTTGAAGTAGAAATAACTTTGGAGCAGGCATGTGCACTCACCGGCTTTTTCCTCCAGCATATTCTTTTCAGTCAGGGCAACCAATGCCTGATAAAGTTAGCAGACATGTTAGCATGACATTTATGCTAGACGGCACATGCAGAATAATTCGAACTCACATCGTAGCACTTGACGTCAACACGAAATGCTTCTTTGAAACAATCCTTGACCTTTTCAATCTCCCTCAGTTGCAAGTACGCCGTTCCTCGGGCATAGCACATCATAGATTCCAACTAAAAACATTTTTGCATCAGAAGAGATACTTTCGATTTTTTAAACTGTCAGCGAGATTGACTGATAATACTACCTTAACACTCCGGTCGCTTGCTTCTTGTCTTGAGTCTTCGTATCACCATATATGTAAATGCTTGTCACAAGTGTGGGTTGATTCAGTCATGGTTGCCTTTTGCATATTACTTTTCAATAATTCGTTTGCATCTCTTTTTTTCTTTCTTTGAGAGTAAGGAAGACTGAACTAGCTTTTGCTCTCTATGTTGCTATTGCCAGGATGACTTTAGTTATATAATCTAGACATCCTGAATGCTGTTGTTTATTCGTTACCGCATCTGCAGGGTATTACAATGCTATCCAATCCATTGAGCGGAGTTGGGATCCAGGAAGCTTACTAGGGTTATGTTTATATCGTGGTTGACAGCACACAGTAGCACTCCAGCGTCTTGTATCAGGCTTGCCTTTTCTCTGGCGTTTTGAGCTTGCTATCGTATTGTTGTTCGTTTGGTAAGCATCAAGCTTAAGACACTGGGTTCATTTACTGAACAACTGCTCATGAGTTTGTTACATATAGAGTTTAAACAGACAAAGTACTGTAGTTAGAATTTGCCCAGAAAATATGAGGAACACTTTCCGGGAATCGCTATATTTCAAGATGTTCTTGAACCCGTATATATCCTAGCATGTGGAAGATGATAATGTTCCCGCTTACCATAAATATTGACCTTTGTCAGTAAACTTGACTCCAATAATTCCTCTGCGTAGTATAACTCTCAAAGCGGTTCGAGTATAGTTGCAGCAGCACGTTGGCCAATGAAATCCAAATACCGGGCATTAAAAATCCACTGCCCGACATGAACAGGAACGCGCGTATGCGCATACATACAGCATACAGACTGCTTTTTTTTGGTCATAAAGGGAGAGGGGAGGAGGCGACGATGGTCTTTCTATTCAACAACGGAAGAAAGAATATTCTCACTTCATTTTTTTTTCTCTCTTCTGTCACAGAGACTATATCATATAGAGTGCGAGGTGATCCCTTTTGTGACGAAAAGAGGTACACAAGCATTTCTGATATATAAGGAAAGCATAGGGTAACCAAAAAAAATTAGTCTGTGCTTTCGCTCAGGTTTGAAAGGGCACCAGACTCGCTGCCGACCAGATCCACATCGTGCTGCCTTTTTATCAATCCTGGATCTAGTAAGTGTATATGTAAACATTTCAAATCGATGCTTGACTATACAGATATCACAACAATCCAACCTGGAAAACTGATTAATTAAACATGCTGCCAATATTGTTTATCAGCTCATTATAAATAAAAGTACAAGCCAGACTGCAAATATCACCGCAATGGTACTCAATTATTAAAAATATGTTGTATGGCATACGAAGATCATCTGTCCGAGATAATCCTGAACACCCCACGACTTCAATCTTTTTACTAGATCCTTCAATGATACGAAAAGCATTGATGCCTGCATTGGTGAGACTATAGATCCGTGAAACACGCAATAGCACCGAGCTTTCGACTTGTTCAAAATGCTCAAGGACAGCACCAGTAACACCTTTCACGGCTGTCAGTTCCAGATTCAGTATTTTGGTTTCCTCAAGTCGTTGTGCCCACACAATCCATCCTGCCTCTGTGAGAAAGTCGTCGACACTATTACTGTACGGTGATGTGCGGGTTCAAGCTTAATCTCCTGACTAGTGGGTGCTGTGATGGTTCGCACAACTGCATTAGACCTTGGTTGTCGATGGGTATGTTCGTGAGACGCATTTTTTCAAGCTGTTGCAAACGTCGAAGCGGAGTAAGATCGCAAAGAGGATTCTCGCTGAACATGTGAAGGAAATTTCGCAAGGAAAGTATACGGAGCCGTTGCAGCGTACCGATGGTTGCGATAATGCTGTTCAGATACTGCGTTATTCCAGCGCGATTTCCAACTTCCAAGATCTCATTTTGTTGCTGCATGAGCAAAATCTGGGACTAATCTTCGCTTGACATACCAGTGATGTCCGTCAACCCCAAACTTGTCAGCTGTGTGAATTGGTTGCGTGCCAAGACATCCCAGCAATGAATATCAGAAAGACCACAGGCGACTATACGTAAATGTTCTAGTATCGGCTGCGATTTTACTACTATCGGCATGATCCTCTCGTGTCCCTTGCCGTTGAATAGCAGTTCATAAGCCATACTGCCTTCCTCGCCATCATTCGATGCTTTCCTTTCAGTTACTTAATATAAGCACTCGTGCTTCTTGATAGTGAAATCCATCTGTCTGCTATGACTGGTTCGCTGCATTCCCACATAATGTAGCGTAATAGAGGGCACAGCTCATAAGCTGTATAGATGTTGGTTGGAGATACGTTGTTGAATCGTGAGTAAGGCGATAATATCAAGTACTTGATGTGGGAGCAACGCTGCAATAAGGGACGGATCCGGTATTTAAAACTGAGAACACCGTCCAGTCT